GCAAGACAATAATCTTCATCGCATGGCAGCTTCCGCCGAAATGTTCCCCAAGCTTCATGATGTGGGAAAACTTTATCCTATAACTTATAATACCTCCCATCCGTCGATGACGATAATAATTGATGTTTACTTTATCCGCCGTCTCACTCTTCACAATAAGTCAATTAATATTTTTGCTTATAGGAAAGTTTCGATGAGAGAATGATGGAAGGAAATCCCGTGAAATTGTGTCTGGAGATGAGAAAACTCACCCTCGCATTGTTTCAAAAGAGTGCGAAGGGAAATTGAGTAAATGGGGGAATTTTCCGCCCACCGTGTTTTTTAAAACACTGCTTATTTGCATCTTTAAAAATCCTCAGACCACATTCTATCTCGCTTATTTCAACCATATTTCCCGGTGAGATCAGTCGATTTTGCCATGAATGGAGAAAACGTAGGTAAAAATTGTACGTATATAGTCTTCTTAGAAAACATTTTTATGAGATTGTGGATTTAATGATGAGAAAATCAAAGAATTGATTCATTTGCAAGTCAAAAGCCACCTGATGGGGTTTCGTTGTATGCGCTTATAAATCAATTTCCGGGATTTTACTACTTCTTGCAATGTACAGCAGAAACGTATGAAATAATTTCTACACTAAGTATTTGGAATTATTAATTCTAGAATGCGGAGTTCCTCGAAAGTCAAATGCTTGTGGCCTTAATGAGGTTTCTCTGGCAATAAATTGTAGGAAGAGAAGAAGCCATGCTCACAGGATTATGACCTCACTGCGTGACGCAACTGAATGCCATAGTCATAGTCTAATCCGCTTTCATATCTAAAGAAATCTTGTATCCTGTAGCATAATTTTAACCTACACTCCGTCGTCATACAAAAAAAAACTTTTATCCATCGGTTGGTGAGCTGTATAGAGATGAGAAAGTTGACATCTTATCATGCTCGTGAAAGCCAATTCATCGAGGGTGAAAGCTCAGAGATGCCCTGGCAAGGGTGACACAGTGCAGGGCGGTCGATGATGGCGTTCGCAGTACATTAAGAAATATGTTAATTTAGCAAGATGGGTAGAGGAAAAAGAGCTGAGAGCGTAATAAAAGTTCCGCTTAATTGCCGGCTCGCGGATATTAAAGTGTGAAGAAGTTCCCAGTGTCTTGTCGCCTGGTTAACCTTCAATTTCTTATAAAGTCCTGCAAAAGTGGTTTGGTAATCATTATCCCAACCATATCTGGCATCGCAGCTCCTCTGTGCCGGGTGGCCAGGAAGATTCTACGTGACTGGTCCATCCACCAAAGATGGAAATACTGATTCCCGAGATGATAAAAGACAGCGCAGGAGATAGCGATAACATCTGGTCGATGATGGAGGCATAAGTGAAAAAAATTGTATGCGAGGCAACAAACACAACAGCACGGGCAACGCTTTCTGCAAACTCATCTCGTGACATGGGAGAGCATCCATTTAATCCCTCGCCCCACCATTGGGGCCAAAAGTTCCTCTGGGGCGGTGAAAATGTGATGAGTCAAAGTGGCGAGTATAAAAAATGGCGCCAAGAACGGGCGGTTTTGGGACTGTGAGTGTGAACAGCTCTCCAAATCACAGCCACTTCCGCCTCCTGACCCAGTCCAAGGGTCGGAAAATTAACCTAGTGTCAGCTTTGGTCCGAGCATGTATGTTTTCAGTCGACCGCATTCACAAACAGTGGAGGAATATCATTGATATTGTGGCGAAATTGTTACACAATTCGGTGAGACAGGACTGAATCAATAAATAACACTCAGCAACAAGGCTAATCATCACATTTGGTAATAATCATCCTACAACTTTAGCAAATTGCCTTTGCTCTCATTTCACCTCCAATCCTGGCAAATAATTGAAATTATAATTTAAACTCAAATTGGTGGAAATACTTTAAAATGCAACGAAAAAGTTACCTAAGTGAATGATCACAATATTCGTGTGTGAAATTTAAAATGTAAATTACCACCACTCTCGAATTCACCGGTGAATCCATCCCCATAATAGAAATATTTTCCACTCCTGCCACGCTATGATGAGCTATTGGTAAAAAATGCAAGCCAGATGGATCCAAAAATGTGTATAACACTGAATATCTCATAAGAAGTATGAATGTCTAGGACGGATGGAATTTATGTGTGGAATCTAAATGTGGTCGTTTGCTGAAAATACCTCACTGAGGTATTCTGTTCCAGCGTAACTATATAGTTTAGAGCTCGGTATCAAGTTATTGTAATGCAGTTTCCACTTGAAGCCATAGTTTATCCATTTCACTATTCATTCCTCAAAAGTCCGCCCACATTCTGTCGCTTCTCAGAATGATAGTGATACTTAACGTGAGTGAATTTGAGCTGTAAAACAATAAATATGTGCAATAACGCAGGATTAGTGTGCAAAGCATTATGGAAATATAACGATGGGACATCGTCTATGGAAGATGAGAGTGAGTTGGAAAAGGGACATAGGATATGTCCATCTAAGACGGCTTTGCTCAAGGAGAGTGAAATAAAACGCAAAGAATTTATTGTGGAAAAAATGGTTGAATAATATTCATTTTTTCCTTTTTAATTCTCATATTTAGGTGTTTTTTGGCCAACATCGACAATAGTTTCCGCCAGATGAGTGACAAACATTATAATTCTCTCAGTGAATTCGTCGTCGTGAAAAGATCAAAACAACCAGAGCAAATGCAATTATGTTTATCTCTCATAAAGCTATTTACGCCCCCTCTGTCCTTACTCAGGATGTCTCTGGAAGACAATGAAAAACAATTTCCTCCCTTACCGAATTACTCGCTGAATTTCCACCCTAAAATTTTCCGCATTGTCCACTCATACTCAGCATACGAATCATAAATGTAAATATTTTTATATGATTTCTTGGTAATTTCCTGTCACTTTTTTTTGACACACAATGAAGAAAAATTTCATTCCAACACGAAATTGAATATAAAAGTGTCTTCAAACTCGCAATTCACGTGATAAAAAAAAACTTTGAAAAGTTAATTAGTTAATTCCAATCCTAGAGTGCGTCTGAAATAATGCCTAATCCTCATGGCAAAATCTGAATAATTATTTGACTTCAATTAGCCATAGTGTGCTGGTTAAAATTGACTGCTGTAATGAGAACCTTTATTTGATTTAACAAGAATATAAGTGGTGGTGTCGCTATTGCATTTCATTGATTGATTTTCTATTGGATATTCATTGGCGTGTTTGGAATGGAAATATTATATTTTAATTAACTTTGCGGAAAACAAAACCAATAATTTTGCGGAATATTAATATTAGCTCTTGACTTTCCATTAATTTTAAAATTGACATTAAATTATTTCGCTTTCAGATTATGGAAAGAAAATATATTGGTTAGTCTACAAATTTACATATTGACAATGCGAATTAATAGGCTTTTATGTATACAATAAGTAACTTTATGACCATCTAGAATATTATAAACGCTTTCTGGTAAGTTTTGTAGCAATTCAGAAATGAATAGTATTGTGAACATTCACACAGTGGGATGAAAATGAACATGAAGTCCTTATGGAATAATTTAATAAGGAGAAGAAAACTTTATTTCCATATCCAGTTTTGTTTTCAAACCCGCGATATTATGAAAGTTATTCATTGCGATATGAATTCTTACAAACAACAAATTAATTTTTAATTAAACTATGCGGATCTGAACTAGATTGGATGTCAACCTGTGGATATTTGAGTAAACTTATGTATATATACGTGTTGCGAAAAGTCTGCAAAAGTTTTTTTCAAACAATAACGTTAAAGAAAACATAAAATATCCTGAATTTGATACTAAAACAGAATAGTGCCATGAATTGCATTTCTCGTTCAACTCAATAAATGGTTTCTCTAGTAGAAAAATCTTTACCTGTTTGAATGAGTCAATTTAGAAGACATCCGTTGGAGAAATTTACATTTTAAGGGTGCATGATTATGAATTCATGCCAAAGCCCAAGGATGTCCTTCGTGACTGGTAATAATTTGAAGATGATACAGTGCATAACAAAAATTCGAGAGTTGGCTAGTCTGAATGGATTGCAAATTGAGTTTTACATTTACCAAGGCGAGGCCTCTTAGAATTCCTGATTGAAATGACTTTTTCGTTTTCTTACTTCACACTTTGTGGAGAAGTACGCAAGTTTAATTGGAAATGTGATACGCTTCACTTTCTTTTTAGCCACCCACTCGCTTGACCGTGTCGTGGTCCAGCAAACCTTGAGGTGAATAATGTCGCAGAAGCCATCACTCAGAAGTGTCTTAATTGCGTTTTTCAACCCCTTTGATATTAATGTATCCTCGTGCCCTGACATCATCTCTTATAATACTGAGGGAAGGGTTTCAGAAATTTTATTACTGAAGTGCTAAATTTTGTATTCTAAATTCTGACATAGTATAGTTTAGAAGTTTGTTCAACTAATCCTAGTTTTCAGATAAATATTACACCTGCATCTCTAGCAACCCACACAAAATCTTTCTCCTAAAATATATAACGAGAGTGAAGTAGACAATGAGCTAGCAAATTTTAATTGTTTTATGCACAAGCTGCTCTTACAATTTTCTATGGAATATTGCACTATTTAAACGCAGATAACAATGTTCGCACACTGAAAGGATGCTATTCAGCGGAGAAGAATCCTAATTTGGTGCGCTGAGGATTCAAAGCTCGAAAGGAGGGTGTAACATTCCTTGAATTTATACACAAAGACGAAATTAAATTCTATTTCTAGTTTCATAAATTGAGTACACATTTGTGAGTCTGCATTTCATTGTGGGTATGTAAAAAATTCCACTGTGGCAGGAGGCAAGAGGAATGTTGAGGCGTATTAAGAAGTGTGACATTACGATTGCCTCACAGATTTTAATGCAAAATTCCACACACATTCTTGCATATTTTTAGCCATGTCATTTTACAAATGTTCCTCACAATCACCACAAAAGGAATTTAGAAGCATTCGAGGGGTCCTTACCTTGTTTAATTGAATTTGTTGATATATTTCACCAACTGCAGTCTCTTAGCGCAAATCTGGAAAGCTCTCAATCCTGATGCACTCTCCACGAAAGAACTCTCGAGTTATTGTCTGTTTCAGTCACTTCAATTTTAATTGGAAAATATGGATCTTCTCTTTGCACAGCTATTCAACAGATTTCACCACTATGTCTCCTCCACAGCGAGAATGTCCTTTTTTCCGACCAATAACTTGTCCTCTTCAATTAGGAAATTGTAGAGGTGGAAGAAAGAAAAAATGCTGGCCAACTTTTCTCTCGTGGGAAATAGAGTGTCTGAGTTAAATTCAAATGACTAAATGAGTGGACAAATTCTTCGGGTGCGGATGGATGTTGTGGTTGTTGTCCTACGACTAGACACTGTTTAAAAGAAGTGGCGCTTGAACTGCCCTTTATGTATCCAGACTCTGGGCACGATGATGGAATCTGGAAGCAACAGTTGAGTGTCGCCTCTGTTGCGCATGATCTTCTACCACTCTGTTGCACGCAGTTCTTGTGCAGACTTTCTTGCCTCAGTCACGGCTAAAAGCTCCACAACTCCCACTTGCGAAGCTCTCCTCGAACGTTCTATGCCATTCGTGTCATGACTCTCTACAGAGATCAAATTTCCTGGGTTGAAAATAGTGAGAATTCTGAGAATATGGTCTGAAAATAGCAAATATCATTTACTATAGAATGCAACAATTCACTAGAAATTAAAAGACAATGACCGAATCATATGAGGAGTCTTTCATTTCACGCGGAATCCATTTTTCTCCCAGGTCAGTAACTGACCCTTCCAGACTGTCTTGCAATCGACGTAATACATATTCCAAGAACCATCTGCAATAGCCCGACGGCTCGCCTTCCTCTCAGCAGTTAATGAAAAGCCAAAGAACCAGAACGTTAATTGAAAGAAAAAAATGTTTCAGCGTCATCAGAAATAATGACCAATTTGTGCGAAATAAAGTGTTTTCCTAACCATTGTGCTTTGTAATGTACATTATACAATTTAATTAATGGTATAGAATATGCGGAAAAAGAACCTTTTTGGAATCATTGTGCGTTTGGAAAGAGTAAAACAAACATCACCATCTTTACTAAGAATCTCGAAGAGATGGTTTTTCATCAAGAAGCATTTTATATCTCAATTAAATGGCAATAATTGGATTTCTCAATAAATATTAGAAAATTCTTATGCCATCACCGATATTAATTTTCTGTCTCTGACATCATCATTCGATTCCGCTGGGGTGTGAATTCTCCCTAAAAGCCTTATTACGTTATCGATATGCTCTGTACTAGGGTCGAATAATCAAAAATAATCGAAATCGAAAGCCAATTTGCAGTCGATGGGATTCTCCAGAAATGTATATACATACATTCCTTCTTTTGAAAAGTGTGTGGTGTAAGTATTGAGATAAATGAATGTACCTTATATACATTATCCTATTATATAGAGATACATATATTTATATTAGGTTAATCCCACTACGTCTGAAAGAGACACTTCTCACACAAAAATTACCCACAAACTCGTAAATATGATTGTAGCGTCTTTCGGGAAAGTCCTTATCCGAGTTAGATGAAATACAAATATTCTCAAACAATTTTCAAAGTTAGGCCAAATCAAGCCTAGTTCATGAAGAGTGTGAGGAAAAAGAATAAATCCTGGATATGTATTTGTATGCGTATTTGAAATATCTTGTCTTAAACTATAATCTCAGAATAAGTCAAGCTTCTGTTTTTCAAAATATGCAAATTGTGATGATGTGCATTTACATGTAATTGTAGATTTCATTATTTCACGTATTTCATTCAAATATTACAACGTAAAATGCCAGGAATTTTATTTCTCGGAATTTCGCCGAACACAAAACACACAATTGATTGTTTATGAATGAATTGAAGGGTTTCATTCCTCAGAAATTTCACACTTTCTGTCAGTCAACTCTTCATGCTGAAGATGGGAAGATTTTATAGACATAGAAGTCATGTGGGTTAAGGGACAATTTTCTCTTTTGCGGGGTTTCTGTCCTTACTGCAAGGACAATTTATATTATTGTCAGTTTTGCGCTTCACAGAAAGGAATTCTTGATGGGTTGGAGGAAATGTACGCATAACACACACCATCACTCATTTCTCAAACATTTGCGCATTTTGCAAGACATTACGCAGGCTTCAGCCGGATATGACGTCATAGAGTGAAGCTTTCACCCTCGCCCAGAGCAACACGTTCTCCCTCCATCGAAAGCTCGCCTGAATCTCCGTGATTGTTTGAGTAGTTGCGGACCAGCCCACTGGCTAAAGGTGGTAACAGAGTCGAGAGTGCGTAGGTGTTACTCGCAGCGGCATGTGCTTTATCGCATGTCAATGATTACATTTGTCAACAACGAGAATTTATGCCTATCAAACACATGAATCTGGGAATAATTGCATTTTACTGCCTTCGCAACGCCCGGAAAATGTGATAGTTCTCATCGACACGAGGCAATTCCGATGAATTTTTATATGGCTGTCGATAGGCATTGTAAATTATCTTGATGCCTTATTACAAAATCGATAAAGTGATACTGGGGCGTTTTATTGATGATGTACCGATGATACTTTGTAAGGAGAGATCGTGTGAATTTTACAAATCATTGACAAAGTATCAATTTACATGCAATTCAAATCATCTTCCAGTGCATTTATCACAAACATAATACACAATAAATGTCTCTGGAGATGTGTTGCATATCTATGCATAAGAAAGGAAAACGCAGTGTCAATATTTCTTTTGCAAAATATCATCCAATACTACGAACGTCATTGGAATATTTTACGTGAATGAAAATGTTTCCCATGTCTAATATACCCTTCATCGAATCTTTCGGGGCGTGATTCTTCGTTCGAACTGGCAATTAATTTGCCATTGAGTAAACAATTAAATAGCAAACACCCCTAAATTCTGAAATTCTGTAGAAATGCTGCTCAATCTGATTAAGTGGAGATGATGATAATATCCAGGTCAGTTGCTGAGAATATCAAATCCATAAATCTGTTTTCCAAGAGATTTTGCATCAAAAGAGCTTAGCAAGTTGACGAAATTGCCCATGGCGTCATCCTCTCTAATTTATTGATAGCATCTGCAGCAGCATTATTAGATGGAAATTGATTTCCAAACTTTCCAGCACTTACTTCATGTTGCGAAATTCACTTTCACGCGACCACGCCAGATTGAATAAGTGACCCTCCTGAATATTTATGCACTCGTGGGGATAATGAGGGCCCACGTGAAAATAGATTGATTATGATTTGAGTGATTTTGGCATAATTTCAAGGGATTTTCCATGATGCACTTCCCCCTGATTAGAGTGACACAAGAAATATCACTCCAACGTCCATTCATCATAATTTAAATCTGTCTCACATTCTCTTGACATCTCCTTTATACTCAGATTCTTTTTTCACACCAGAAAATGTGCACAAAAATGTGGAAATGTCAGATATGAGGCATATTTCTATGACGTTAATGATACTGATGGATCATTTTATGTGCAAGAAGGAAGTTGGAAAATATAGAAATGAGAGAATGTAAGTTCTGTTTAATTGGAAGAACTAATCAATATCTAAACAGGGAGTGATTAAACAAATAAATAATAATTTGAAAGTGTGTGGAATTATCCTTGGCGACAGAATTTCCTCAATTTGCTCAATTTAGTAAAATACACTTTGCAATAATTCAATAAAATCTCAATCAATTACAAATCATTTATGAGTGTCGGTATTTTGCGAAATGAAGTGAACAATTAATTTACCCAGTGGGTGTGATTCCTCGAATTATTCATTATTATGGACGAGCATTTGTGCGTAATCTATTAATGAAATATATGAAGTTATTGCTGCACAGTTCACATTCAATTTAGCACACTTGCAGAGAGAATGAAATATTGTGATCATAAAATGAAATTTTAATGGTTTTTCTTGCCATCTCCCGACCAAATGTGGCTCTTTTTTTGTCACACAGGATGGTTTTTCGCACACATGAAAATGGTCATGAATTAATTCCGTCTGCGTCACAATTAACCATAATTGTCTCACTTTTGTGGATAAGGAAGTCATTGTGGAAAAAACCATGACGGCGAGTGAGATGACAAAAGACATAGGATAATTCTGTAGGAGGGATTTGCAAGTCTATAAATCCAGGGATGATTATTGTGCGAGGAAATTGTCATCGTGTGTGATTCTTCTCAACACACATATTCACTCTCAAGACTATCAACGTGACTTCTTGCCTCTATCTTGTCTTTTACTTCCTCCACTTTCTGGCGTTGTCAATGAAAAATGGAATTTCGTGGCGTCATTTGTACGTCTCCCGACAAATGAGACATTTTCCCCAAACCCATGACTCACTGCCTTCCATGCCTGGAAAACAAACAATGGGATTTCGTGGGAGAAAATCCAGCCTAATATCTCAAAAATGCCATTAGATATAAATGCGATTTTTACATTTTTGTGGCTGGGCTCATTTTACATCACATAAATATTTCCTGGATCACTTAAACGAGCTTTTTTTACTTAAAGCTCACCCAAAGTTCAATAACAGGGAAAATGTTCGCCGTCACAGTGGAAACTTTTCAAAGGGAAAGGCCGGATTTTCATACTGAGTTTCGGTGGAATATTTAAATCGCTATAATCTCTCTTTCCATGCTGGTAAGTTTCCATGTAAATATGCTGGAGAATCTCAATAAAAGAGGATTAAATAGCGGTGATTTTCCGTTGAGTTTAGGGTGAAGAAATGGGGTCAATCTAAGAATACAATTACACGATGTGGGAGATGTAAATAAATTTATTGGACAGAGTCTATCTTACAGACTTTCGCTTGACTTTTATCTATGATAATTACAAAATGTGTTCAAGATTCTCGTAGCCATGCGAAGTGGAGAAATTAAACACCAGAGAACGGTCTTAAAGACAATCCTTTTAGTGTGAAAATTTATTAACTTTCATTGTCTCCCTCGTCTTATGATATTCTACACGAATTGATTTTTCTGGAGGCTCTATAATACCACAAAAGTCCACTTTTGCACGGTCTTCTCTTGTTTTCGCCCAAATGGCCACACAATTCAGTAGAATTGTGAATTAATCTGCTTGAATGAGAAAGACCAGAAATTGAATCCTTCAAGCTTTGAAGCTTTCGAAACTTTTGGTGTTGAACTTAAACTTAAGATTTGCGGAGATGTTCCTTCTAGTGTTTATTTACACTGAACTTCAAAAGACAACACTCAAATCCCTGTTTTATACGACGGTTTCAGTTCAACAGCTTTACACGTGTTTCGGTTCTCAATGAACGTTATTTTTGGCATATAAAGTATTGTCTAAAAAAATTTATCGATTGATAATACAATTTCTGTTTTGACGGAGTCTTTTATTATTTTTTTTTCTCGCAACTGAGACTTAAAAAGCTCGAGAAACACTTCATGTAAAAGTTTTTGTTTGCAAATGCCGCACATGACTAAATTCAGGTAAGATTTGGTGATTTAGGATGGAAACAGAGCACATCAAAGCCACACTTTCAACAATGACTGAGCATCAAATTTCACATTGTCAAAAGTTTCCACCAATTTCTTATACGCCAATGCGAATAAAAAGAGCATGTAGTCGAAATTCAAGTCTTGTTTGTTTTTATTAGCCCTCTGGGAGCAAATAAGAGGCACTTCTCGGATGACTGTTTTATATTGTCAACAAGGATACTTGAGGGGATCCGAATATATGTCTTGCGGGAGTCAAATCCCCTCGGGATGGGTGCGTCGGAAGGGGTGAAAGCGAAAGTCGGTGAACAGGAAGACTTTGGAGAATGCTTCCGGTTGAATGGAGTTCTATTTGCGTGTAATTCATCTATGACGGGAGTAAATAGTCACCATAAATCATAACCCACCCTCTCGGAATTGACGCAGGTATTTCTTTTCCACCTGCCAGTCTACTGAGGAATTCTGTTGCTCTCGTCAGAACACCGTCGACGGACTTTTAATTACATCCCACAGCACTAATTCAGCGACACCGCACAGACACCCACCGGGAAATTCATCTGTTGCTGCTGCCGGCTCTCTTGTGTTTTAAGGTGGGTGGATGGCACCCATATCTGTATAGATGTGTTTTCATTGCTACACATAATCCTCCCATTGCTTAACTATTGATATTTAGCGATTGAAGTCAATGATTTACAAAGTCAGTTATTGAATTCTATTGACACTTTCCTTTTACATTAATCTGCTTTTGACGTGCTTCATCATGCAATGTCAAGAGTTCGCAGTAAATGAGCTTTTTGATAGATTGACCGAGAGCAGGAGACATGAAAGGACTCGACGTTGAAGCCTGGCTACTAACGCTTCCTATATATTTATAGCCCTTGAATATAGAGTGTTTTACGCTGTAATTTCGATATTTGTTCTGTATTAGATAAATTGTATGAGTTGTGAGGAGAAAAAAAGCCTCTTTTGACACCTAAAATAATTCTAATAATCAATACATCAGAAAGCATAGGAAAACTTTGGCATTTGATGGTCATCTCGAGAGCCAAAGAGTGATACTTATTTCTTTTTTACATAAGACAACCAGAAATTCAATGGTCATGCAACAATTTAACTAAACAAACACACCTCAAGGTGCGACAATGTGTGCAATAATTTTGGACTCGGGTGTGAGTGACACGGCGACGGTGTTGGTTTGCGTACAACTATTTGGATGGAATATCATGAATTGAATTTAAATCAACGAACAGACCCGTGGGGGCATCCATTGAAGAGAACGAGACGTGAAAAATATGAGAGCTGCTCGTCTGTGTCTGACTGACACACTTGCTGAATCCGCGGATCTGTGGAAGTAGGTCTCACTTCTCTTGGCAACTTGTCGTTTGGACAGGCAGACGAACACCATCGAGCGCCGCGACTCACACACGCCACGGTGTGATGTACTTATGATTTGGGGGAATTATTGGGTGTCGCTCTCCTGGCAAATTCTTGCTGGGCTTCCCCAATCTTCAGGCCAACGCTCCGGTCAGCAGAACATTCTCGCGCCATCGATCGCCCAGAGTGGGTTTTCGGGTGAATTTAGAGGTCACGCCGATGCTTGTGTGCGACGACACTCTCTGTGTATATCTTTGACTAGAGTGTACACGAGGCATCTCTGGCTCTGTGTGGAACCTCAATAATGCTAAAGTCAAGTGAATTGAACTAAAGTCAATCCGATGGACTCTGTGTTGTAGATTTTAATCCGTGGCGTCGAAGGTGATTCAACTCCATTCCTGCATAACTCACGCACAGCATCGATCCCCAGTTGGTGTAGAGGATCATCACAGCCCTATTGTAGGACATTCACGTGCCACTGTTTGATCACTGGAAACCAGCCCGAGAGTGACTAATTGTGCTCGCGTGAAGGTAGGAGGTGATCTTCTGTGTTGGCGATGATCGACTCCGCATTGGGTATTCTAGGAGAGCCTCAAGATCACCACAACGTGCTTTTGCTGTGAGTGCACTGGGTGCATTTGAGACAATTGGTCATCAGTGGTCCGCGTTACGGTGTTTGTGATCAAATATGCCAGCGAATCAGTGCAAAAATTGTGGCGGTGCCAAAGACTATAACAACAACCACTCGCCGTACACCAGCGCCTACGGCAGTGTCATTAATCCCAGTGGCAAGGGGGCTGCCAATATGATCGTTCAGCCCGCCGTGACCACCCATGTGCGCGCCAAGATCATGTGGGGCACCGTGGGGGCCATCAAGGAGCTCCGCGAGAAGGAGCAGGCCGAGAAGAACCGCGCCGCGCGCGCCGAGAGGAGACAATAGTCCAGCTGCTCCCAAATCACACATCTCTCCAATGTGCCTTTCATCGTCTCACCTATTTAATCATCCATCATTGCATCGCTCGGCAGAGCCACTCCTCAGGTGAGACTCCACAAGGGGGCTTCCAAGTCATTGGTTCGGTGGAATTTGTGCCCAAAATGCAAAGTGGTTCATATAGAGAGAAAGATCATAAAGAATTGGCGCAGAGGCCATGAGAAATAGTGGGTAAAAGTTGTATTTCTCGTTAAAATAAGAAATGCTTAATTGAATTTTATACTGTAAAGGTCGTCATTGCAATAATACACAATTTTTAAGATACTACAGATCTGTTTTGTCCGCTATTAAGCAGGGTGTGAATGAATATCGGCAAATATTACTGGTGATTTTCCCTCAAATCGGATTTTTAAAATTCCTTCAATGACCCTAAATCGACGACAAACTGAGAAATTGTTTCGTTAGTTTCTCACCTCTTTGGTCTTTTCACTCTGCTCGAGTTTCTCTCCGATTTCTCACGTCAACTCCGCTTATTCCAGAATACCAATTTAATTCTTTTGCATATTCAACACTATTGCCACCTTAACGGCGCATTTGGAGGAAAAAAGGCGCTCTCTTTTGGCCCGGCGATGCTCTATTGATCGGAAAATGGGTCATCTGTCGTGATCACCAATCGCAACAATTTCGCGTGAGAATTTCTCCACGGATTTTTGTCAAGTTTACATATAACAAGGCGGTGGCATAGCAATTACCGTGAGATCATCATCATTATCGTTCCAACACGATCTGTAGGTATTTGATTAAACCAGAAGCCACGAGTATTCTTGGCGATCTTGCCTTCCTTCTTCTCGGGCTGGAGATCTTTCACAAAACTCGAATCGCCGAGATGATCTCGCGCAAGAGGACACAGGTCAGTTACTCGTGCGATTACATCAAGACTATACCGCGATCTTCGCTGGCCGCTAAATGGTCACGGGAATGCACAGAGAGAGTGTCAGTGAAAGATTTTTCCAAACATCCCGTGTGTGCATCTTCTATTGAGCAATAAAGCATAATTAAGTTGGAAAAAAAGTGTGTGTGTGCATTTGCGACGCAACAAAGAAGACGATTTAGAGGAGAAGAAAAGCCGCCATCGGAGTCTCTCTTCTATTCTCCGGCCGTGGCGATTGTATCGATGATCATGAAGTAATCATAACCACGCATTTTCATGTTATACTCTCCTTTTGTTGTTGGGCAATTGTAATTGCACCAGTCCCAGTGAGAAAGTTTCATCATCTTTGGGCACAGTCAGAGTGACTGTCTTAGCACCATCTTCAAGCACTTCTTCACACAATTTCACAGTGGCGAACAGAAAAACACAGCGCAAAAGAAAGCATTTACTGACGTGCTTTGAAAGTTTCTAAATTGCCATCCATTGGCGCTATTTTCTGGATTGCTCGTCAATGATGGTGATTGCGAAGACCGGCTATTTATTAAAATGATACCATAATAACACACGTTCTGAGCACATAATGAGGAGAAATTAGTCTATTTTTTGTGCAAAAGATTTACTGGATTAGTAGGTTTCTGAGCAATATTCCTTTAGTTTGATTTTATTTATTTTATTTATTAATGTGGAATAGAAAGGCGAATTGGAAGCAAAAGTCATTTTGAAATTACACAAAATCTGTGTGCAAAGTATTGCTCCTCACTGTATTTTCGCAAGCACATCCAGCTCAGAGAGTTATGATGATGTTTATGATTATTTGCATAGAAAGTAAATTCTTGCACACGAGTTGAGTGTAATACAATATGATTTCCTAATTACTTCCTCTGCGTCTTCTTATAATACCTCAAGCAAAACAGTGAGTGGCAAAATTATTGCAATTTTGACATAGACGAAGAGATATAAGGTTTCTTCAGGGAGAACTTGTGCTGTGAGACTGCATAATATATCAAATGGGAAAATTCTTTCACCTTATCTTGTGCATCTCAAGGTGCCTTTGGTATTTCTTAACACAATTACGCGTGTGTGTGAATTTTTCGAGGAAAGCATTTTCTCTCTCACTGACTGCTATTGCAACAGCAATTAGCAATCTCTGTTCATTTACAAATTCCACGAGTGTGAGTCGTACGGCAATAATTGAAAACACATAAAAAAAGGTTGATGAACTCAAATGCGTGGCGTTTTTGCATGGAGAATGATAATGGTGATGGTGGCAATAAAATGGCAATGGAGAAGAATTTTCATGGAAAATTAAAGCACTTCATTGTTTTCTGCACTTTTGGCATTTCATTGCAGATTCATCACCATTTCCCTGATTATTGCTATTGCACAGGCTCAGGCCAAAGACACCGTGAATGCAGTTGAAGATCCACAATTTGCCATTTCGAGTAAATTTGGCAATCATGACCAAGTGTCCAAGTGCCCCGAATTGCAGATTACCGATCGAATGACCAGAGAACTGCCGAGACCCATTTTGAGGAGCGGTTTGAAGATTCCCATCAACGGCAAAGCTCTGCGGTTCAAGAATTTCACTGAAATCACTGTGGAGCCATGGGATGCGGGGGAAGATCTCCAGGGAGCTCTCAAGGATGCCGCTCTCGAAGGACTCCACGCTATGACGGAGTATTACGACAGGATTGAACCAGAGCTTGTGCGCAATGGATCATACTTGAGCGTGGATGATCCTGCAGCTTTTCTCTGGAGATTCAGCGCACCACACTCGATGGAAGACGATCAATCCAGAGGAGCTTATGCCGCCCTCGTGGCAGCCAAGAAGTTGCGCGAAAGGTGAGCATTTTTCAGTAAATACGCGAAATTTGCATATTCGGCGAAATTTCCGTCAATCTTGTGGTATTTCTCAGAATTCTAAGGCTAAAATTTAATCAAGTTCGACTGGGATTTCCAAAAATCAGGAAAACAAGTTTGATCTGTGCTTCAATTAGGGCTTTCCTATGCATATATTTTTGTCTAAAAACACACTTTAATTGGTATCACAAGTATAGAAATATCTATTACATCGAGTGAGGTCAATATCAGGGCTAAAATACGAAAGTAATGCTTATTTGATGAAAATTTAAAAATTATAAACATTGAACCTTCTTTTGTCTCTCCACGGTTTTCACGGCAAGACGAATTTTCCGATTCCTCATAATATTGCGTAAACAACAAGATGTATAAATGTACATAACTTTAGTATATAAAATACTTATAATGAGTTGCAAATAAATATTTGTACATAATGTGGAAAAAATTTATATTGGTCTCCGCTTATATACACGCAATACCTTAACGTGTTGTGATATGGTTGACTGAAGGAAACATTGACCACTGAATGTGAATCACAGAAAATAAGCATCAGGAACGGAAGATTTCAGTGTCTCTCCGTCTTTAACCATATTGATATGTATCGAATACCATGAACTTCCCTCAAGGTAATCTGGTGAATAAAGTGTTTGTGGAAACATGTATTCTCCCTGACGCGTCCATCGCCACCGTCTTCCTTGTATATAAACAGAATGTCTTCATGCTGTATTTCCAAATTTCAGCGAAAATTCCTACAGTGAAGATCGAACTAGAGAACTGTTCTGTGCAGAGATACTGAGTCTTTATTGTTAAGTTTATAGTAATCATGAAGGTGTTGCTGTGCCTCTGTGTTCTCGTCGTTCTGGCTTATTCCCTTCCTGTTGAAAACGAGGAAGCTAAGGGCGTAGTGAAGTTTGCACCAGTGGAAGTGAGTGATTTTCTTAATATTGTAGAGCGCTTTGAATAAAATGGAGTTTGTCTGTGAAATAGGGTGCTGAAGATCATGCCGGGGAAGAGGGTGTTGACTTAACTGCAGCTGAACAACATTACGGACATTATGGACATTATGGGCACTATGGACATGGCCACCATGGACACTACGGTAAGAATACAGTAAAAATGCGGTAATTAAATGGTAATAACAAAAACTTACGCATTCACAGGTCACCACGGTGGTTACGGCGGTTATTATGGCCATCACGGTGAGTGATTAGTGTGATACTAATAGTAAAAGGAGATTGGGCAGCATTGCACCCATATTGCAGCATTGTTTTCATAATTATATCTTCAATACGCAAGGGCAAGACGTGATCAATGTGCAACGCTGCCCCATCTCACTCTACATAACTTTGAAATCTAATATTCTTTTGACTTATTATTTTATTCTTATTAGGACACGGACATTATGGAAGTCACTCTGGAAGCTTTTCTAGCGAATATTATGGTTAAAACTTCAATCTTCTCTCGCATAGATTAAACTTCATTATATTGTCGATCTTGTAACTGAACCATAAAAATAATGATGTATCCTTTGGAATAAATCGAAATGGCCCAATAAAATCAAACATTTATGAATGAATATATTTTTTTATAATATCCACAATCAAATTGTAATACAAATAGCTCACATATTCTAGGAATCATTTCGTAAATCCCCTTCCCGACGTAATCAAATTGAATATTTGATGAAGTATTAATAAAAAACAGGTTCATTTGAGACAGAATGTTTTTTGCACAATTTTATATAAATCTCGACTAACTGCAGACAGCATCGCAAGAACGAGTTTCACGTGATTAATATGGTCTTTATATACGCAATGTTTTCTGAGGACTTCATGCATACTTAATGATACGGTTATTCGGGGATTTCCACAAGATACAAAGAACAGCGAAAAACATAATGTCAACAGTCAAAAAGCATATAAGAATTTCTATTCTATTTCAATATAGACACGAGAAGTCTCATGAGAAATTGTTTATATGAGTCCTCTCTTACATCGCAAAAAAGCCTCCATGAATGAATATTGCTGGAACTTTGGAGGTTTTTCAATTTTTTGTATACTGATTGTCGCATGTGGTCGAGCTCCAAAACTGGTTAAAGCTTCAACGTGTATTTGTCTTATGTCTCTTAAGTTCATTGTTCGGTAATAAATTTGCTTTGTCCATATATTAAAGTTATGAGCATCTGCCTCGCCTTCAATCAATGACCCTTTTAAATTTCCATTAAAAAAAAACCACGCATTTCACTCAATAAATCAAAAGAGAGAAAATAACAATTATTGTTTTTTGGCTTTGGGGGAAAAATTGCAAGTGGGATGGTAAAAAATATGAATGTAGATTTTACGTCTTTCCTGCTTCACTGGCACACGTTCGATAAAATTGTAAACAATTTTTTTCCGATGCAAATGATTGAAAATGTTGCGCCAAAGAGAGGGGTGAAATACCATGAAGAAAACATGTAAATTGCAATTTTCTCTGAACCCAGCGAAGCATTGCGATTCATTCTGTTGACAATTTTCCATAACATTGCCTCTATTAGCACTTTTCTCTTCCTCAACTTGTGTGTTGCAACACAAGTTGGATGTTGTTCGTTTTATCTAAACAACTTGTGCAAAGAAATGAAATACCCACAAAATTTCTCAAGTTGTTAAAACAATTAGCTCAATTTTCTTCTCGCTTCTCTCTCTTTGCTGTCTTAATGTTGGAAATGGCGTTTCTCTTGTCCAAGAGAAAAAAAACGTGGTCATACTAAAAACTGTAGAGTTGTAAAAGACGTTATGGGTGAAATTTTTGTTGTAGAATGAAACCATCAGTGATTCAGAAGATTTCAGAGTACAGTTCGAAAAATGCATTCGGTGATCCATTTGCCAGAGACCACAATCTCTCGCAGAGGGAAAGTTTGCCGCTCAAGATTCCACCTATTAATTTGTGGCGGTTGCAAGAAGGTCACAAATGGGACAAGATCGCTAGAGACACTTTCACATTGCACCGCAATCATTTCTTTCTCCCGAAGACACGCAGAGAAAAAGCAGTGAAAGTTACGTTTCCATTCTAACACATGCATTTCCACTCGCTGAGGGACATTCTCATTGGACTGATGCACGAAAATTGAGATCAGCAGAGAAGAGCCGGTTGTAGGTCACTTTTGCAACTGCACCGCGATACAATTTAACTGCTGTGTTTTTAATCAACACTTTCATCAATTTCTTCCGCTCATATTCCTCACTCTAGTTCGTGTTTTGCCTTTATTTGAAAATTACACATTTTTTCATCCAGTAAATGCTCATAATTCAAATTCAAAGTTGTGCTGAAATGATCGTAAAACTCGCGACTTCCACCAATTGTCCATTAGATGCACATTTTAGCGTGATCGGCGATTTGATATGCAAATTGGGAGATTTTTATGTCATCAATGAGAGACTCAGGGTTAAACTATTGATCGTGATCTTCAAAGTAAACCTCAATTCATTGCATATTTAACAAGTCATTAATTTCATCGCGCATTTTGTGATGGATTCAAGGGGAGTTGATATCTTGAGGAAAATACACCAATTCCACTGTTAGTTTTTATAACTCAACTATTTAAGTTGATATTTCTCTCATTGAATTTTACACAACTTGTGAATTTATTCATCTACTTAATTTCGAGGATCTTCGCAATAATTTATTGCAGCATTTCGCACAAGACATTGTGAATATGTTCAAGGGAGAAGATGTATTTGAAAGATCAAATGATTGATCTGAATGATGAAAAACTCTTCTTCGTCATGACTTTGGTTTGATAATTAATGATCTTGTTTTCAATGCTTTGTGCCCACATTTGAGGCATTTCTCTAGTTCATGTCCGATGAGATACTTTATACATTCACTCGGCAAAAGTAGGAAACTAAAGTAAGTGACCACATAGTATTTTGGCAAAAAGTCTTTATTTCTCTTTCCTGTTATGGGGCTTTTATTGTACACGATCATTGTATATAATTACGAGGATTTTCTGGGTCAGGGTTTCAGTGTAACGATGCTGCGGAAGGTGGAGCCGAGAAATTTCGCCGGAAAATACCATCTCGAAATTCATATTTCATATCTTCGCCTAAGTTGGTGTTAGTTGTGACAAAGAGAAAGTTTCCAATCATTCTCTCTATGCTATAGTAACTTGAATGTGAGTGATCTGCCAGCGTCAATGTCTTCTATGAACTTTGTGAGGATCGTTTAAATTTATTATTGCCAAAGAGTGTCATTGTCAACAACGTATGGTGTGAAATTAATTTTGAAATAAATTTCATACTCAAAAAGCATCGACAGTAAAAGTTTCTCCTCCACGATTTTTCCTTCTCAATAAATGTCTCTCATTGTGAGTTTCGCGCTGCGTTATTAATTTAATTTGTATTTGCATTTTATTAACGAATGGCAAAGGTTTTCAGACTGTTGTGTATATTTTTCTGTATCTCACAATTATACTTGTCGGTATTTCATAAAGCAAAGTGCAATCTTTCTTCAAAAGCACAAACTCTGCATGCAGTAATTTAATGGGTGTGGAGAATGAAAATGCAAGTGATAGAAATTTATGCAATTTTCTATTTCTGCAAAGATGATCATCTCGCGCGAGGGAAAATCAAAAGAGTCTACTTTCTATGCTGTAACAAATAATAAAAGCCTTTCCTCATAATTACACCACCTTTTTTCACACGTCATATCATCTGAAAGACGTTTTCCGTGATGATCATCGCTATTTTCTGCAGAAAAATCCACGCAACAACTCTCGATTTTCACCGAAAAGAAAAAATACAGTATCGCAGATTTAATGCTGCAAATGGGATGCAGGAACCGGTTGCAGATCGCGATCTTTTCCACCTCACGGCGATACATCTCGCGTACAAACTTAGAGATCACTTTAAGCAGGATTGAGAGAAAAGTGATTGAAATGTTGTTACTCGATAAACTTGAACTCAAGTGAAATTTTTTGTCCCGCAGCGAGAATAAATCTTTCCAAGGGGTGATTCACTCGCGAATTCGCACCCGGATTTGCAATAAAAATCTCAAGTGATTCACGCGTGCCCATTGAAATGTTATGTGATTGAGCATAATGGTCATTTCGTGGCAAATTTATGTGTTTTCAATTATATTCTGACGAAATTAAGGCGTGAAGGGGAAAAGTTGAGACGAATCCAATAAACACACGTAAAGAATTTCTCTGAATTCACTCTATTTCACACGGATTTGCCCAGACTTACCCCAAATTTCCTTCTATTATGCAAGAACATTTTCTAATGTGCCTTTTGCCTTACAACTCTTGTTCTCACGTTAATTCTTCTACTTTTTACTTAGCGGCATGAAATTTATTGCACGACTTCACTTATGATTTGCACATTAATTTGATTTAAAGTTTGGAAGCGTGGCTGAAATTCAGAAAAGGGTTGATTATTCTTACTCAGCTTTCTTTCGTTCAAAAATTTGCATTTATTTGAATTGAAACATTAGCATTATATTGATCATGCAAAGTAAATGCCCCCTGAAGTTATCACTTATGCATCCTGAAGATGTTTTAAGATGCTATTAGAAAGTTTCCGGTGAGTGTCTTTCGCTGAGAAATGATCGCGAGGAAAGGGCGTCAACAGTGGCGCTTTCTCCACCAATTTCTACTTCACAAAGAGTGACTGAACCCTAACATTGTCTCTTTTGTCGCATCTTCACTTTTTTTTCACTTCGCAGCACAAAAGACAAATTTTGTCTACACACATGTTGTTTTTTCCTCTATTGCAAATATGATCCCCGGCTGTACGAAAAGAAGCATGTTTCCTCAGATGAAAAAAAAAGTGCTCCACCGAAAAGACACAGAAAATCACTCTTCCTCCACTTTATTCGCGGGGCATGTGGTGGGAATGGTGCGCTTTCTCCACTTTATAAATAGCCAGAATGTGTGATTGAAGTGCTCATTTCCAATTTACCATCGCGCCCATGAGCATCTTCTCTGTGGCGACAGCGAGTTCGTGTGTGAGTCAGAGAGTGAAAGTGTGAAAATGATTAAGTCGCGCACACGGATACACTGTTGGGATGCTGGAGTGTCGTGATCGCCTGATTAATGGCATACTTTGTGGCACTTTCGCAGCCATCACGTGGACTTTGTGGGGCTCGGAAGGGAGGATCCGCCCCGGCTGTCGCTCAGGCGCACATCCCTGGAGAGCTTCTGTCCGCCGCGTGATTCCCCAGCGTGCGCTCATAGCAGTGAAAAGTACCGGACGCACGATGGCACCTGCAACAACAGGAGGAGGCCACGGTGGGGCTCCTCGCAGATGCCGTACCAGAGATTCATGACGCCCGACTATGAGGACGGGATCAGTGAACCACGCAGGGCTTCCGACAGATCCAACTTGCCGTCCGCGAGGTTCGTGAGCCTAGTGATCGTGGGCGCCAACCGGGAAGAGAGTCCAGTCACGCTGATGCTCGCTCAGTGGGGACAATTCATCGATCACGATGTTACAGCCACGAGGCAGCCGATGTAAGTTTTTCTATCCACCATTTCTCATTCACTTGATCACGCCACTTACTGCACGAGATCAACTTAGCACTCAATGAGCTGGAAATATATTCACTCAGCATGCAACTTTTCCTGACTTCCCTTCGTGCATTTTAATATGGAAGAAGAAACTTTCCTTTTCTATTTTCAATCTATCAATATAATAATTATAAATATATTTCCCTTTTCTCAGGAGTGTAAATGGATCCATTCCTAGTTGCTGCGGATCATCCTCCAATGACAATCCTAATTGCTTTCCCATCAAAGTGCCCTTTGACGATCCCTGGCTGGCTCCCATTGGGATCCGATGCCTGGAATTTCTGCGATCAGCTCCAGCCCAGAGAAGGGATTGCACATTGTCATGGCGAGAGCAAACCAACCAAGTCACATCCTTCATTGACGCATCCACGGTTTACGGAAGCACTCAGCGAAGCAATCAGAACATCAGGCTGTTCCAGAACGGACTGCTCTTGTTCGGAAGAGGACTGCCCAAGGATGACACGTGCCTCAGGGCCGCTCTTGCAGATCGGTGCATAAGAGCAGGCGATGGAAGGAGCAATGAGCAGCCTGCACTGCTGGCTCAACACATCATCTGGGTGACTGAACACAACAGAATTGCCACTGAACTGGGAAACCTGAACCATCACTGGAGCGACGAGAAGATCTATCAAGAGACAAGAAGGATTATCATCGCCATGGTGCAGCACATCACTTATCGAGAGTTCCTGCCCTTGGTTCTGGGTCGAGTGGTTTGCCAAATCTTCGGACTGGAGCTTCAAGACAGTGGATATTACAAATCGTACAGTGAGAATATGAATCCTTCAACAGCCAATTCCTTCGCTTCGGCTGCTTTCCGGTTCGGCCATTCGCTGATTCAAAACTCCATCATGAGAGCAGATCGGCACAACTTCTTCCTACCCAACAGTAAGTTCATGAAGAAGCGCCCATTAGAGTAGGAATTTGAGCGAACTCATGATCCGATGATCTTCCCACGATAGTTTCACTTAATTATCGTATGAATTGCTTAAAGCTCGTATTGATTTCATGCCAAAGTAATTTCAGTGCATTCAAATGTTAATTATGTGTTTTGTTTTCCTCACTCTTAATGCGAATAGTTCAAGATTCAATTAATTCATTCACACTTCGCGTGGGAGTTCAATGAAAAGTAAAAGAAATTAACATTCAATGCCATTGTGATAATTCATTGTTGCTTCTAAAAATATTTTCGGTTTACATATTCAAAAAATTTCACGAATATTTTGTGGAGAGAGTTTGAGAATTTTTCTTCTTCGTCTTCCAGACATTTCACTTCACGATGAGTCATCAAGAGGAGACATCGGCGGTCCAGGGTCTCTCCATCGCATGATCAGAGGGAACATCAAGCAGAGATCGATGAAAGTGGACGAATTCGTGACTCCTGAGCTGACAAATCATCTCTTCCAGAGTCCAAGTATGATCTTGTGAACGATCGTTGCCAAGATCACGACACTAAAGCCGTGATTTTCTTACAGACGCCAGATTTGGCTTAGACTTGGCGGCGATCAACATCCAAAGAGGTCGAGATCACGGCCTTCCGGTTTACTCTTCTTGGCGCCTGGCTTGCGGACTGTCTCCGATAAACGATTGGAATGATCTCAACGAGGTCATGGGTCCGGGCACAGTGCGGCGCATGCGACAAGCTTACAAGAGTGTTCATGACATTGATGTGTGGCTTGGCGGAATTGCCGAACGTCCGGTAGTTGGAGGACTCGTCGGACCCGTGATTGCTTGCATTGTGGCCCAGCAGTTTGTCAACTTCCGAAAAGGAGATCGATTTTGGTACGAAAACGGTGGGTTCAACAGCAGTTTCACTCCTGCTCAACTTGCCGCCATTCGAAAAACCAATCTTGCCCAAGTTCTGTGCAGATCAACTGCAGGAGGTCAGATGCAACCGTTTGTCTTTCTGCCACCGGAAAAGCCGGGGAATGAGTACCAAACCTGCGGCACGAGATCTTTGACTCCAATCGATCTGAGACCGTGGAAGGAGATTGATCCTTTCCAGCATGACGAGGAGTCTCTAAACTTGTTCGACATACCCGCTGCTCACATTATGATTAATCCATTCCGCGAAGACAATTCTGTGGGTGGCAAAGTAGATGAGATTCCAGAAAGCAAGAACATGACTCAAACAACAACTGAACATACTATAGACAGCAAACTAGACTTGACTGATATCACAACGAACAAGAACGTAAACGTGACTATTAGTGACAAACTGGAAATACCTAAGAAGACTCTGCTGAATATCAAGAGACTGCGGAAACCGACAAAACACAAAAAGAAACGACCCCACCTAAGACGAGTTGATGACCTTATCTTTAAGAACGACGACAATGCGACGGTTTACGTAGGAAACAAGCCTCTGAGCTTCAATGAAGCGGAAGAGAAGACGATACGCGACGTTTTACTTGCTTTCACGCCACGACCATTCCAAATTGAGATCAATATCAAACGTACAGAAGCGACAAAGAGACCTCTTGACACAACCACTGCCATTTATCCATTGAGACCTCAAGTCAGACCGATCTATACGACGCCAAGACCCTTTGACGACTTTGACGAGCACAAGGAATCCTACGCATCTCTGCCTGACATTGCTTCAACGGGTTCGACTCCATTCAGTTTTGAACAGACTAAACCGGACCGACAAGACGATAGTCCACCATTTGAAGAACTCGACCAAGTGCCAATCTTTACCACGCACAGACCGAACATACTAACATCCTACTTCCCGACCGGACTGAAGAAAAAGACGACCACTTCCACGACAGAGTCCGTGTATATAATCCCTCCGAAGTTAGACGTTGATCCTTCTCCAAACTATCCTGCTCAGTCCTCAGTTTCATCCAATCTCTCTCCCTTCTCAACTTCCGGCTCATCTGTCTCCTGGGCGAAGAATCTGTCACCTCTGCTAGACTTCGGCTTAGAAACTAACGAGACAAGACCTAACGTTGATCCCAAACTATCCACTGAAGACCTGACTCCTCCGCAAGCCTATGACTTTGACGCTGACTATGACTATACAACCCTACCTCCCGCCTTGAACTCTCAACTGAACGAAAATGACGAAGAGTCGACGGACAAAATCCCTTTTGACGAGGACGGATACTTGAGACCAGAACATATCCAACTCAATCAAACGACTGACCATATTGAGATCATACAACTGGAGGGCATAGAACTGACCAAGACATCTGGGAATGACGACTTTGTACAGCCCATATTCAGTCAAGACTTTAGAACAGTAGACGTGCGTGAAAAGAAGATTGTCTTCACGGACACTCTTCCCAGAACGCCAGACTTTGGCATTATGGCTGAGGATACTGACGAAATACAAGACAAAGGACTGACACCTGACGTTAGCGTTCCTCTTGTGCCACTCGTGGTTCTGACCAGAGTTGATAGGTAAGCTTCTGGATCTCCACACATAACTGAAAATCAATTGACAACAATTTCTTATTCTTGCAGACCTGACAACTGGGCTATCATAGATGCGCCGATGAGCAAGAACAACCCTCCCAAGATGCCATCAATTGAGGATAAGGGCGTGAAGTACTCAAAAGAATTCCCCAAGCCTCTGCAGTTCATCGAGGAATTGATAAAGAAACATGGATAATCACTGCATTCACGACATTATTCACTCCCATACTTATATCACAATTATTTATTGTTTATTTATTTATTTATTTGTATTTTTACATATTTTTCGGCTCAATACATGACAAAATGTTGCGTTTCTTTGACTTGGCGATGTTTTACTCACTCTTCGGCGCACCGTTGATCATGGCGATGTTTCAAAAAGCGCGCCTCTTCCCCACCCGCAGAAAAACATCGTTGGAAGTGCGAAGGAGAAATGTTGTAGGAGAAATGCTTTGAGTGCGGCTGACAGAGTGTTTGGTGGAGGAGTTCTGTGAAAAGTTCCTATTTCTCTGAGAAAAGTGGCGAAGGAATAGGGAAAAGTGGTTGAAATTGTTTGAGAAATATCACATTTCAAGTCGTGAATGGAGTTTATGTGCATGGTGGTGTATTTTTGTGAGAAATCAAGTGCAAAATAGAGAGGAGACGTCTGGCTCAGGCAGCGCCATCAGTGGCGCCGCGAAGAAAGTCTTCCCACGCAAAATTCATCGAAGAGGAGGCGAATCGTTCCCTGTGGTCCTGCAGCATAAGTAAGATAATTGGAGTGTTTTCAGAATAATGAGAAGAGTAGAGATATGCTTTAGTGCTAAAGCAATCCGTTACGTTATTCTGCGATCATAATTTCTCTTCGGGAGTCTTTTTGTGTGGAAGGAAAAGACGGTCTTCGACATGTGCACACTTTGTTTTTGCTTCTAGATGGGAAATTTCCCCTCATCGATTGCCCATCGAGTTGCCAGGACCAAAGGAGACTGGACGTGCTCAGAGGAGGAGTGATTAGTGCAGAAGCTATGGCGTGTGGAGGCCTTGGGAGCATCCGATGAGGATTGAAGGTTGACCCCCTAGTGCTACTGTTATTGTTTCAATGATTTGGTACCACAAACTCCTGGCCAAGAAGCCTCACCTCATCCTCGTGGCCGTGACCGTCTTCTGTGTAGCATGTATTGTTGTCGCATTGACTACCAGACGCTTCCCGGACTTTTCGGATCCCACATTGGTGAGATTTCCCGATAGTTTCGCGCCTCAAGATGACTTCTCATGCTCAGTTTGTGTTGTTTTGTAGGGATTCGAGGCTCGGGGCACGACAATCAGTCAGAGATTAACAGCCTGGCGCAATCTGCTTGAAGAGACCCGTCCGTCTGGGCGTCTGGTGGCGAATCCTTTCGAGGACTTCCAAATGGCAGGGCATTCAGGAGGCCGACGTCGAAAGCTCAAGGGTCCAGCGCAGCAGAAGCAGCGGAAGAAGAAGAAATTGGCTCTCCCTGAGAAGATCAAGATCATTAAGAATCTTCCCACGAACGGGACGTACGATCTGCCGGATGACTACGACTCCCAGGACAACACCACAGTCTCTGTGAGGCACGAACACTGGGATTACGGCAGAAACATCACGTACGAGAGCGATGAGTCCACGAAGAAGCGCAACAAACTGAAAAAGGACAACTGGATTAAGCTCACGAAGATGTACCCTCCGCCCCTCACCACTGACGTCCACACCACGTCCGACGGCTTCTTCTGCGAATCGCCCAACAAGGAGTACTCGCACTTCGTCATGCGACGCATCAACCACCAGCTCAACGAGTCACTGCTGGAGCGGAACGCTCTGCTGGCCATGTGTGATCTCGAGCAGGTGATTGTGGGCACGAATCTCTACAATGATCTGTGCCAGCGCGAGCTCACATCCCAACACTGCTGCCGGCCTTGGTCGATTCCCAACTACGTCGCCTTGCTGACCAACAAGTCCACGTGCTTTGACATTGAGGATGAGGATGTGAATACAGTGAAGAGTTTGCTGCTGGATTGCTATCCGTTCTATCATAGTTTGAAACTGAGCAACGACTGCACACAATTCAAGTGCAACGTGCCGCAAGAATGCACCCAGTTTAATGCAGTTTACAACATTCTCCACTACTTGGCCGATGTGAACTTTATGACAATCAATGTGAGTGTGAATTTGGACAAATTTATTATGTATTCAAGTCAATTTTTGATGCATGAATTTTGGGAATTTATTGCCTCTTCGTGACACACACACGGAGGAAAAAAAGTATCCTTGTTTAGTAATCAGTTCACATTTCCTGTTCTTACTTAATTCTCATTTCACTTGTCAATGAAACAGCAATCTATAAAATTAATTGAGAACGATGGAAACTAAATGGGAGTTTATAGGGTTGCCTGGATTTTTATCTTTTTCTTAGTTACCCCTCTAATTGCCCTCATTTTTCTTCTTCTAACATCGCGTCCATGGGGCAAAAGAAAAGGCGTTTCATTAGTCGTATCTCAAATGTTTTCATCTATATCACTCTTGATGTGTCGCTTTTTTTCACTTTCTTCCTTGCCCAGACATTTTGGCGTTATTTCGTGAAAAGGTGGCATTAAATGGGCTAACTATTGTTTTATGGACTGTGCTCACGAGAAAAGACCACCGATTGCATGTCGAGTGGCGGAGAGAGAATGAGAGTGGACTTTACGATTTTCGATATCTTGTATAGTCTATTAGTGAGGAAATTGGCGCGGAAGATAGTTTACTTAATTTCTCAATAGACGCCGATTTGGCTAAATTGCCCCAGATGATGATATCTCACAAAGTGCCTTGTTCTCCTTTTTCTTTTCTTTTCTCAGGACTCCAATATATTTCTGTCGACAGCGATGGTCTTCATTCCCATTGCGAGGAGCACAAAGTCACTTCCGTTCTTCCACCACTTGACGTCCGAGCCGCTGCGGAATGAGTTGATTGACGTGCCCGCGATGGACATGGGCCTGAAGAATGCCCTCTTCGACGAGTGCCTCCTCTCAGATGGCTGGCTCATTGGCCTCGGCGGAATTTTCATTGTGCTCTGCATGTGGATCTACACGGCGTCACTGTTTGTCACGACCATGACCATTGTCGCTATCGTCTTCTCACTCGGCGTGTCCTACTTCATCTACACCCTCATCTTCGAGCTGTCCTTCTTCCCATTCATGAATCTCTTAGCTGTCGTCGTCATTGTTGGTGAGTCGCTATTTTTACGCTCACTAAAAGTTTTCTCCTAATATTTTATTCAGAACCACTCACTCAGAAAAGTGGAATTGGCGAATCTTTCGTGATGGATCGCTTTAGAGAGAGAGACACTTAAAAAATGTGTTCTCAGACGAAAAATGTATGAAATTTTCTATAATTTTCCTTATAAATCAGACCTTGTCTTGGATTTATTCAGTATATGCATGAATTCCTTTTATTTATTCACGCGATGATGCATATTTTTGACTTGTATGAAAATTTCTGAGCAAATTGAAATTTTGACACATTGGAAAATGTCACTGAATACATTACCAAGTAAATGGGAACATTAAAGGAGAGTATGAAAATCTGAAGATATTGAGCATTTTGACGTGAGAAGAAAAATTACTGCCAATATCCTTCCGCAATGCACTTCTGAACAATACACAATCTTCCTGTTCTCCAGTTTGCCTGTCTGTCATGGCATGATTCATATCTTTTTCCTTTGCTCTTTGCAGGAATTGGGGCCGATGATGCTTTTATATTTGTTAAAGTCTGGCGATGCTGTATAGCGGAAAGGACGAAATCGAGTGGATATAATTTCAATTCCACGTCATCCTTCTCCTCGAGTTTTTCTCACACGGACACTCTCACTGACCTGATGGGGATGACGCTGAAGCATGCAGCTCTCTCAATGCTCGTGACATCAATAACGACATCAGCTGCCTTCTATGCTTCCTTTGTCAGTTCAATCACTGCAGTGCGATGTTTTGGGTGAGTGTGTAGACAAAATGCCAGCAAATTGACTCCTATTCTTGAGGCCTTTCACTAGAGAGACTATAAATTCTTTCATGTGATGGAATGTGTGCTGTGCAGACATTCGATTGTGCACTCTTGGATATATGCTCAACATTTGCCGTCTAAAACAATTGAATTGAGTGTAATTTGTAGTATTGTGTGCAAAGCTGGGTTGCAAATAAGGGAATAGAATGCACCACAGTGAATGCCTGGAAAACTCTCACGTACTTCACTGGAGTGATTTAGGGCTTTGGGCTTTTGGAGCAATGCAATTTCTACGTGGTTGGAAATCGATTTGGATGCGGGGAAATTCCTTGGTCGATTGTAAAATCTGCTCTCCAGGCAAATTTGACTGTGAAGTTATTGGAGAGTGACGGGCAAGATGAAATTTTATGTGTTTAAATGCACGATAAACAGGACAGTATAAGCAAGGAGATTTTATTACTGTGCTCTCCTGTTTCGTGTCTATAAAATTAAGGTCATGAACTCAGAACGCGTTGTAAATGTAATCCGAAAATATTGCTAATACCCGAATTAGTGGTCTTTAAAATTTGCTGTAAATTAATGTGACGATCTTTGCAGCATTTTCGCCGGAACTGCTGTGTTGGCCAACTATATTATGATGGTGACGTGGCTGCCGGCAGCAGTTTCAATAGCTGAGCGAATGTCCTGCTGTCCATCATCTCGCGGACCCTTCAAGGATGTGTGCATGAAGACACAGAATTGGATGAATCGATGCCGCCTCGCTATTGAGCGTGTACAAGACTTTATAATCCTCCTCGTGCTGAAGTACTCGAGCGTGTGGGTTGCTCTGCTGGGCCTTGTTGGTGTGCTCAGTGGAGTGATTGTGCTGTATTGGCCACAATTGCGTCTTCCCGACTCACCAGATTTCAAGCTCTTCGTTAGCAACCACCCTTTTGAGGTGTACGATAGTCAATTCAAGGAGATGTTCTGGTTTGAGAAAATTTACACCTCCAGTGAGAGCTTCAAGCTGCCTCTGCGGTTTGTCTGGGGTGTGGAGCCAATGGACAAGGGTGACTACCTCAATCCCGGCGCTAGAGGCTCTCTGTACCTCAACGAAGCCTTCAATGTGTCTCTGCCGGAGTCACAACTCTGGCTTCTGGACTTCTGCAAGAGACTGAGGAATCAGAGCTTTTATCAGAATAGCACAGGTTTGCTTGTGCCAAATTGCTTCATCGAGAACTTTTACACTTTCATGATGAGACGATGCCAAGATGCAATGGCAGAGATTGATAGGTGAGTTGAAGAAATATATTTCTGGTTGTGTGTGCATGCAATTGTGATGATTCAATTTCCGTCTGTCCTTTCAAATTGAATTTCCTTGCTCAAACAACAAATCCAACAAACTTTATTCCCTCCGGATGAGCACAATGACAGTGGTGTAGTGAAGAGTGCTTAAGGTGTAAAATAAATTTGCTGTTCCTTTGTTGAAAATGTATTATATGGAAATTTGTGAGAAATATTTCTAGAGAGACAGACAGAGAACTTTAAAGTCAAATTTCCACTTCTAGACATCTCTGACAGTGTATTAAGATCAGTTAAACACAGTTGTTTCTCAGCAGTTTCAAAGTTCAGGGAAAACTTTATGTTTGCTTTCCGCCCGGGGATTTTGCAATTATACTCACTACGCCTCTGTTGAATTGTGACAACTTTGCTGTGTTGAGAAATTCTCTTCCTAAATTAAATTTCCCCCCATAATCTCTGATTGATTGTAATTTATTTGCCTTCACCACTCACCATTTTCTTTGCAGGACGCCCTGCTGCGAGAACACGACGCGCCCCTACGAGGCCTACATATTCGACGAGTGTCTGCCGCAGTCAATCTCGTCGCTGTACGAGACGCCGCGTGAATTTTTCATTCCTGGTGTGGCTGGTCCCAAATTTGCTCGTCCCTTTCGTGACAGGACGTCATCTAATGTGTCTCTGGTGCGCGCCCTTGTCGTGGAGTTTGATTCCACTCAGCCCTTCACCATGTCCTATTCGGACGTGAGTCGCTTCGTGGCTGAGGTTGAGGAGTGGCTCAAGGGGGAGCTTGAAGTGGCTCCGGTGGGAATGAAGAATGGCTGGTTCATCAGCGAATTGGACTTCTACGATCTGCAGGACACTCTGTCTCAGGGAACTTTACTGGCGATTGGCATGGCCATGGGAGTGGCGCTGCTAGTGCTTCTCTTGGTCACACTCAATGTCCTGATCAGCCTCTATGCCATCCTCACGGTGACTCTGACGATTTTCGTCACGGTGGCGATTCTGGTGCTCCTCGGCTGGAAGCTCAACGTCCTGGAGAGTGTTGCGGTGACAACAGCGATAGGACTTGCGGTGGATTTTAGTCTTCACTATGGAGTACACTATCGACTCTCCCCGGACTCTGATCGCGAGTCATCCGTGAGATTCGCGCTGGTCCGAATGATTGGACCCACATCGATGGCAGCCGTGACGACAGGAATCGCCGGAGCACTGATGTTGCCCTCGCATGTTCTTGCCTACATTCAGATTGGCATCTTTCTCCTTGTGGTAATGACAATAAGCTGGTTATATGCAACATTTTTCCTCACCTCTCTTCTCTCCCTCGTGGGGCCTCAGTATGGGTTCGGTCAGTTTCGGTATCCCAGTCTCAGGACGCGGGACACTGCGAAGGCGGGAAAGAATGGGCAGAATCAGGAGGGCGCTGGAAGTAGGAATGTCGGCCAGAGTGCTGTGTCTGAGCAACTTCTGTCTGCCTCCAGTTCGGCTGCTGGGGATTTTGCCGGGTCGGAGTCTCACGAATTGGACTCTCTCACGTCCAATTCGATCGTGAAGCCGCCGACAACGCTCGAATATGCCCGTCCGATCAACTTTGACAGGGCTTTCAAGAAGAAATTCTCATACCCACGCGAACAGAGTCCGTCCACGGCCAGTGCCATCACTGTGGTGCTGCCGGACGATGCTCAAGATGCCAAGCAATTCTAAGGCGGGTGGCAATTTCCTTTTGTCGCACAGCATCTCTCGCTGAAGATGGGTGAATCTGTGAGATTTTCAATTAAGCTCCTCGTTGAGGGCATTTTAGCACTGAGTGGGAAATTGGAGAAAATGAGAGTGAAGTACAGTGTGTGGCGGAAGTTTGTGGGCACAGAATAATTCTCTGTAGCGCGGAAGAATGAACTTCAGTTTCGGATTTCCAATGGCCAATCTCTGTAATTCTCAATTAGATCATGACTTTGTTAAGGACTTTAGTTTGATAGGAGGAGCGTGGGAGGACTGATAGGATCTTTATACTTAGCTCTTCTTGCATCAGAATATTGTATACTCTTGATAGACTGAATACGGCTTTGTTAGCTCTCATTAGTTAATTGTGGTAGACTTCTGCTGGTGTGTATGTTGTCGGCTGTGATTGTTGACCCAAAGTAATTGACAGTGTTTGACGCACTTTGAAGCTGAAGTTTAATCAATTGTGCTCATTTGGGTGTTTATATCCGTGTGCCACTGTACTTCTGGCGTTCTCTCGCCGGGAAAGAGCTATTATTTTCCCTCCTACACTTATCTTTAGAGGCCTCAACTTTGATCTCTTTGTGGTACTTAATGTGTTCTTATAGGAAAAAAGCAGAAGAGCTGTAGTGAAGGGGAAAATCTTGAGGAAAAAGTAATTGTATAAATTATTAGGCTATCTTGAAACTTTTTCTCATAACTTTCATGATGCGTTGTGCCAAGATTAAATGTGTAACTTATATGTACAAGGAAAAAGTCTCTATCACGTCACGCGTGGCTGGTGAAAGTTGTGAAACTGCATACATTCTATCGATCTGCCAAGAGTAAATGTAGTGTTGATACTCAAATTTAGAGTGATAAGGCAACAATGGAGATGATGACGAAAAAAAATATTGACTGATTTTATAGTTAAAGAAAAGGGTGAAGAAAACAAATGAAGAGTTTCATTGTATAAAAATATTTGTCGTTTGCAATTTTGCATTTGGAGAAAAAAAATCATGAGGGGGAAAATGCGACGAAAGATGTTAAAAGTGTGTTTGTGTTTTTGTTGTTCTTCTTTGTAATAGGATTTGTATTACAGGGAAAACGTGGTTACTTAGCAATGGTGAGGAAGATATCTTGCATCTTCTCGCCCATGAATGTTCTCTTCCTTCGCGCATTTCACTTGAGTTTTCGTTTAGCCAGAGAAAATGAAATGAGATGTTAATTGTGATAATTAAGTAAGAGAAGGAAAATGATGTTAGGGCAGAAAATGCATTGTGTGCATGTTGAGTGTATTTGATAAAGGGTTGAGGTTGGAAGGATGAAGAAAAAAACATCAATTAATTTTGTGAAAAGAGTGAGTCAACACGACGAATGAAAAATCAATATTTGCCTCCCATTGAAGTTCCTTTCTGGGCAATGATTCTTTGGCAAGAGGACGACGGGATTCTCAGTGTTTGCAACTCTGAGGGCCGCAGTTGCTTTAATGAGAGGAATCGGGGGTGATTCTGGGAGGAGTAGTGGTAAATTTTAAATGAGTAGAGATGGGAAATTGCACAAGTTGTTGGAATATTGAGTGTGGGATTTTAATTTGTGAGAAATTTCGCCATTGTCTGCAACTTTTTATCATAAAATTTTATTTGACTGCTTAATAATTCAGTAATTTGAATAAATTTTTGCTCCTCATAATGATCATGTCTTCGGGCAAATCGTATAGGCGAAATATTATTATTCAATTAAGAGGGAAATACTAAAGAAAATTTCCACCACTCACTTGAATTGCAAATGTTCTTTGGAAAATTGTTGACATATTGAGAAACAAACTCAAGTTTAACTAGAAAACAGGCAAGAAATAATTTTGCTTCTTCCATTGTTATGAGAAGCACTCTTCAGCATTGTTGCAATGCACGATATGAATAATATTGCAAACGCTCCGGCAATATTTGATAGAATAAAAGGATATTGAAATATTGCAAACGAGGAGCAATCGAGAAGCAGTGCATAAAGTAAAGTGAAGACATGAATATTGGCTACACTCGTGCAATTTCTCATTCTATTCAATTTCAATCAGAAGCTTTCACAATGAAAGACGAGACATTTTTCATCGCCACAGACGAAATTGTATTAAAAAATATGGCGAAAGCAGTGAAAAATCCATGTGAATAGCAGAAAGAATGTAAAATTGAAGGATGAAATAAAAATATCTTGTAAAAATGTAAAGAAAAAACAACTGCATTTTTTCTTGTATTTCATATTTATTTCATTTGAGACATTTATCAGTTTAATTATTTTCATTAATTCATTAAATTCACTAATTTTTCATCTCATAATCATTTTCTCCTTCACTAACAATCATAAATTCAAGAAATTAAACATAACATCTCTTATCCACTTTTTCTCATGTTGTTTATTTTGGGAAGACACTTTATAAAATATTTCTCATTATCTTTAATGCTTACAGTATTTTCAAGTTTCACTATTCTTTTCTTCTTTATTATTTATCTAAAAAATTGATCTTTCTAATTTTTATTTTATCCCTTCTTATAACGTGCGAATGTTGAGTGTTTTCAAAATTGTAGTTTTTTTTTTTCTTATATGAATGCCTTTTCTCTCTTTTTTCATCTTCAAATATTACCTACAGAAATATTTATCGATTGTCTTTTTTATTCTGTTTTTTCCGTGGCTGAAAATAATTTTGCTCAAGATAAAAGCTTTTGGAAAAAAAGGCATAAGAAGATGGAATTTCTAAATTTTCGATGTTCCTTAGAGTGCCTCAGCCATTCGTGTATGTGTGTGTGTTTTTTAGAAGGATATTTCAAAACATATTTGTGCCTGTAAGATATGACAATTTACTTTTTGACTTAACATTTTTCTCCTTTTCTTCTAATTATTTTTCGCCATCATTTGAAAAGTATTTTCCTTTCTTTGTAATTGAGATTCGCAAAATGTTGTGTTTCACATATTTTATGTTGAATTCATCTTTTTCATTACTATAAACGACACTAATTAAAAAATTGACGCATATTTTTTCTCATAATTCTTCTCTTTATATAATTTAGAATATGATTTTCATTCACAATTAATAATAATTTTTCATTACAATTTTAATAATCAATTATTATTTAACTAATAATTCGTTTTTTTTTTCTTATCTCACCTTGTAGTATTTTTCTTTTGCTATTTCTCTTCTAGATTACCATTTTTAATTCATGACTATTCTGTGCTAAAATTTTCATTTTTTCTCCTCTGGTTGTCATTCATTTTCAAAATGTTTTACATTATCTATAAGATTCAATGTTATTACTCAAGAATTTACATCTCATTTAATTAAATTCACTATCTTTAAATAGGTATAATTATTTATAAAATATTTGTTTCAGTTGTCTTTTTTTTGTCTTTATTACCTTTACTCGTCTATTCACTATATAATCTCATTCACGAGGGGCGGGAAAGGTGATTTTGTTGTGAAAATTCTACGTGAAAATGAGCTCTAAAGTCGTTTCGAAAATGTCGTTAACAATACACAGAGAAAATTGAGGTTTCATTGTTAGTTATTTATCGTTATTTTGGCAAAAGTGGTTTCTCTTGTTGAGGGATGGGGCGCAGGGCTTTGACTTTCCATTGACTGGGTTGCTTGTGTGGAAATGTCGGTGAGGAGGAACGTGTCGGATGTTGCTGTTCTGTTGAGCAAAGAGCGCACACACGGCGTGTGGTGAAGTGGATTTTGCTTAAATTGCAAAGAAAAGGGTGGTTTTCCACAATTTGGGGCTGGGGCTTTCGTGGTATAGCGTCAACTTCTTTTCACTTGGGCTGTCGTGGATGATGTTAAACATCTTTGCAACATTTTGCGCAACTTTGTGCTCTTACAAGGTAATGTTGTTCTTGTCTTGTGACTTTTCATCAATTACGGTCATTCAACAAAAAGCCTCTCTTTATGCAATTGAGAGCATATATGTGCTCTCGAAATGCTTCGTCTGCCTTCCACACAAAACACTTTTTCCCACCCACTGGTGGGAAAAATGTTTAAAAAGAAACAAGAAGAAAATTTCTCCCTTATCGTATCATCTCTCGAGTGTATGTTCACATCAATTCCACATTGAGTTTCTCTCAGGCTCGGCAGCGATGTGCCATTGTCGACCCTGTAGCACATCTTTTCTACACACATGACGTAGGCAATGTTTCTGCTGCATTATTCTATACACTTTTTCGAGTTCAGCGAATTTTTAGTACATCTTCATTATCATTATCTTGTGCTTGGAGAGAAAACTATTTTCAAAGTTTTCTTCTCTCTACCATTTTCAAATAAAGTTGTCTCGATTTTTGGCTCTTTGTTTTTTAAAGGTATTGCTTCTTCAAGGAATAAAACGTGGTATACTTATGAATGTTCCAATAGAAACGAGAGTATTTGTGTAAAAACTGAATCTCCAATGATTACACAGTGGAATTGAACACAAATGAATCATCGGTTAAAGTTGTTTAACGCGTATTGCGTATTGATTATTGGGAACTTTTAGATCTACAATTTTAGGATCGAAATTATATACTTAATGAATTACTGCGGGAAAACACAACTTGTCGGTTTTAGTCACTTTATCTTTATGGACGACTTCACTAGCTCTAGACATTTATACTAAATTCATCGTATTTATCTAAAATTTTAATGTTTTTTTTTTCTCTACTTTTTGCCATGCTTTTCCTATAAAATTGTAAATACCTACTTATGCTATCCTGGAATGTTCCACATTTGTCTAGGGATGCTTTCGTGGGAAGGGGAGGAGCGCCAGAACCTATTTACACACTATGTACAGTGTTGTGTGGTAGAAAATGGGGGCATTGTCTACGCGCGGGTCGACAATGGCACACGCCTGCCGGCGCGGCAGGTGGGTCGCGGAGGCGCCCGTCTACAGATACTCCACAATGTCGCACTTGATGGAGATGTTGGGACAGCTGGCGCCCACGATGCTGCGGCCACGATAGCGCGGCTCGCGCTCTGTGAGCAGCTTCCGGAAGATTGGCAGGATGTCGCCGCCGTCCTCCAGCAGCTCCGACTCGGAGCTGGCGCCGTACATGTCGGCGCGGTGGCGGTGCTTGTGGCCGGGCGCCACGTTGGGCGAGGAGCGGTGGTGTGCGTGGTGCTGCATTGACTTGGCCAGCTTGCGGCTGCCCGCCGCCGGACTCTGGCACGTGTGCGTGGGCGTGGAGTCGCGCTCGCGCTCGCTATCCGTCTCGCTCTGGCACGCGCTGGTCTTGCTCTTGTGCCTGTGCTTGGAGCGATTCTTCTCAGAGACGCTGCGCTGGATGGGCGCCTGCGGCGACGAGTGGTGCTCCGGCGTCTGCGTCTGCTGCTGCTGCATGGCGGGCGGCGGCGGCGTGTGGCCGTGCTCCTGGCATCGCACGGCGTTCTGGCAGGTGCGCGCCGCCTGGCGCTGGTGCTGCTTCGCATGAGAGAGCGTGTGGGTGTCCCAAAGGTCGCTCTGCGACACCACAAAGCCTCCCTTGATCGCCGCACTGCCCACCTGCAGGCTCACACGCCTCTGCTGCTCGGCAGCACTAACATCTGCCGGCGGGAGAGAGATTAGACGCACTCGCCTAGGACAGGGATTTTCTTCCCACAAATCAACAACAGCCACAAACGTGCAGGACGAGGAGTGGAGATAATCCCAAGGGGCTATTCTTCAGAGAGAAAGAGGGAGAGGGAGCTTCGAAGAAAAGACTTTAGAACCACCGTCAGTTTAAGATTAAGTGCAACTTTGTGAATGGGCGGGAATTAGTTGTTTCCACCAACCAGAAAGTCTTCATTAGGGAGCAGAGAACATATTACTGTTCAGCCCCTTGGGCTCCACTGTGGGATTTGCGGGTGGGGCCACAATACTCACTTTTCGTACTACCTTTGGCATGTGGGCAGATGTTGTTGAGCTCCGTGTTGGAGTGTGTCACAGAGTGCGTCGAGGAATTCATGTGCGAGTTCATCCTCGGTCGGTTCGCACCACTCATGTCGGTGAAATCCTGCAAAGAAAACCACACACAGAGCGGAAATGCAGAAAATGTGCACAATTCACTCTTCATACCAGCTTCTTCGACGAGGGCGAGTACTTCATGCCGGCCTGCGTCTCGTTGAGGCTCTTGTTGCTGTCGTGCATCGTGCCGCGGCGCTCCATGTTGGGCAGCTGCTGCTGGACGTCGTTGCACTGCTTTGCGTAGTGGACGGATCGTTCCTCAATCCTCAGGGGCTGTGTGATGGGGATGTCCGACCCGGAGGAGATTGTGGTGACGCGTTTCCTATGCGAGAGACTCTCATGTTAAATTCCACTCCCAGCAGAGAGCTTTCGGGCGAAAATCCCAGTTTTCGTGGCTATCAAAATGTGTATTTATGGCCCCCGGACGAGATGATTATTCACGGATCAATAAATTACTTATCGCACCAAGAGAGATTCAAATTCACCTCTTCCATTCGGAGCACTCTCGGAGGGCTTTTATCAATGGGTGATCAACTTTAAATCTCCACATGGGAGAAAAGTGCGCCAGAGCTTTTCTCCATCGCTGAATCTTCTACTCACAGAAACCCATCCTTTTTATCATTCTATATTCAATTCCTTCTGCTTCTTGCGCTTAAGCAATTGTCGAGATATCGCAAATAAAATGTGGCATTTTTAATCACAATAACCAAGCAAAACGACTGACTTTGAAACCACGAATGAATTACAGAGATACGCAATAAAAAACGCACTGGAGCTCAAATAATTATTTTTAACTACTCCAATTGTCAATTTACTATAATTACGCTCCAAAAATTCCGCATAAATGCTGAATTCTGAAAATACATTCATTAACACATTAATGATGCATATTTCTCACATTGATATGTGAAATAAAACACACATGCGGCCTGAAATTTGATATTTTACATCTATCTGTTGTAAATTTGGAATATTAACTGAGAATTGAACGGTCGTAATTATTTATTTTGAAAAACATATGTATAATTAAAAATCATTCAATACACTTTGTGCATTGAATTTCAATTGAATATTTGATAAGTTAAGCAATCCATGTAATTATAATTCTGTAAAAAGTTGGGAAGGGAAAATTCTGTTCACACTTTTTGCAAAGTAATTGGAAAAAGAACAACTTCCTCATCAGTATAAGACATGCACAATATATCTTTGACGCCTTTTTTTTCATTTTAAAATTCCGCTCAGAAAGAAAATTTATTCCATCTCACGAGCCATTGAATCGATACTGTGAGTCTGTGTAGCGCAAGTTTTCCAAGACAGTGCATTAAAACTTTCGTAGCTCAACTTCCTGAAAATATATAGAGACTGTTCGTAGTTGAGATTTTACATCCAGCATGAATTATTGCCATCACGTGTCGAAGAGTTTCTGCAATTAACACATTTCTTAGAGAGGAGAATGGCCACTTGCTGGAAATTGTCACTCATTTGGTTCATTACGCTTTTTCCATTGGCGACGCGACGGAGCAAAACTTTCCGTCCAGATACTCTTTTTGGCTCATACCATAAACTTTATGCCACTCCAGCCATATAGAGTGTCTTGAGACGGTCTCACGATTTATCCCGAAAGCGGATTAATGCATTTTCATGTATGGTAAAGTGTCGGCCAAGAAGAAGCATCCGTGATTGACTCCGACCCAAATTGCTCAATTTGGTATTCGGACTGTGGCACAATCGTAAAATGCTATCGGGATGTGAGGGGAATAAAATCGATCGAAGATGCGGGTCTGCAAATGATTTTTAACGTCGAGGGCTTCTGGTTAGCAGAATCTGGGCTGAGCGGAAATCCCACGGATGATTCGGGGGATTTCCTGACGTTGGGGAACGTGTGATTTATGATGGATAACCAGAGAGAGAGGAGAACCAAAAGTCAGTCAGTGTCTGATCGCTTCGTGGGAAAAACTAGATAACACAATCATTGTTGAGTTTCAGAGCGCACTTCTGCACTTCCAGAGCGACTACTGAGACGCCCCTCGGCGCGACGAGGGATAATGGCTATCGACTCACCGTTGATTTGGTGTCAATGAGTTGTCGAGATCGGCGTGCGTGGACGTGAGGCTGCCAATGGATGTGAGGTCCGTGGTTTCCGTTGTGCTGGGCATTTCGCGCCGTATTGGTGGAACTGAGAGTCGCGACGCGGTATCCTTCAGCGGCTCCAGGTCGCCGAGACTACCATCGAGCCAGCTCCGGGCCTCTGGTCCCAATTTCCGTATGAGACTCTGGAGCTCGGCCTCGCGCTCCATGAGCGCTTTGCGGAACTTGCAGTTTGTTGTCTTGACGTCCCTGAGGCGCTGCTCGAGTTCGCACACGCTTGAGTCCCGTCGATTTTTCGACATGGGACGCAGAGTGGCGCGAATTCGCTTGTCCACCACGCCGCTAGGGTTTCTCTTCAGTTCCACAATCTTGGGCACAAATACCAGGCACAGCGTCGCCGTGGTGCAGAAAATGATGAACACGCTGATGAGGATGAAGGCGGCATCCTTCCGGTCCGACAGCACGATGGCTATCGCGGCGCCCATGATGCACATGATGACCACGTTGTACACGGACAGGCCGATATGCTTGGAGTCGTTGAGGGCGGGAATGGAGACGTGCCGCGTCTCCCAGGCCAGGAAAGCCCCAAAGATCTGCGGGTGAGAGAGGGCGTGCGTCAGTGGGGTGTCGTCAAGTGGGGTCGACTGGCCATTCGAGACTGACCAGGAGGAGGCCTTTGTATGCATAAATGACGCCAATGAAGACAGTTATCTTCTCAGACTGGCAGTATTCGTTCTCCCTGGCGATTAGGACGTCCTCAAGTGATGGATGGGGCTTTTGTGTCGATGAGAGAGAGAAGGCGGATTTTTTATTAGCAAAGTGTGTTGCCCACCCCTTAAGATTGGAGAAGCATCCCCATATTTACTTACATGCGGTTCCATTTGCTTAGTGTCCCTGTAAAATGGGTCAGCTATTTGCCATGTAGTCATGATTGCCAAATCGATGGCCAGCAAAACGCCCACCACCATGAATAATTGATAATCTTTAATGACCTAAAATAGAGAGAGAGAGAGAGAGAATGTATGTTGGTTAGCAGCAAATTATGTCGCGCAACTTTCATTTCTCAAAATTCAATTAATGCCTGACTAAAAGTGGGTCCTTTGACGCCTTCGCCCACGCAACCTTCTGCGAAGCTCACCTGTAATTACTGTAGTCATTTGGATGGGTGAGAATAGAGTGAAAGAGAGAGAGAGAGGTGGTGACATAATTGAAAAGCAGGATTAATGGTAGTGTATAGAATTGCGAGCAAAAACTACTTGACATGCATTGTTCCCATGTGATTCATCTTGAAACGCCATGGCTGTTATAGTGCAACATCTGAAGACCGTATAAATTAAGAAGTCAGTTCAGAGAATAAGCTTCAAGTTTGCCAACTATTTCTTGTATTCACCAGCAACTTAATTTTGCATCAAAGGCAGAATAAATTTTGGCTCGTGACGCTCCCGGAGTTTATTTTTTTCAGAAACAAAGTTTAGTGTAAACTTTGGAAAGGGATGAACATATTTGAGTGAAAAGTATTTCCCGAAAAAAAATAATTACACTTTGTACTTTAAATTGAGCGCCAAATTTGGGACTGAGAAAGAAGATTGAACTCACAAGTGCCACAAGTGCTTTATATGTGTTTACCGAAGTATTATATGGCGTACGCATTATTGACAAAAGACTGAAGAGGATGTTTATGTGATGTTAGGACTGAGGAGTGTCACTGATCCCTCCTTCTAGCGTGGTAATTCTCCTGTAGGATTTCCCACGCGAGTGATAAGGAAATGTTACCTCTTTATCTTCTCGCCAAAACAATAAATTTCCCCCCATTCCGACCATTCAACCCTTTCGACGGGAATCAAAGTGGGAAAGTTCTGTGGAGAAAATTCATAAGCGTCTCAGGGAAGTTGCTTCCCCAGTGATACCTTCACAAATTTGAAATGGAATTTCTTGGGGGAGCGGAAAACACTCATTCTATAATAATGATTTCACCAAAAGACGTCTTAAGATCCGTTCTCAGGAAGTCTCTTGGAGGATTGACGAGATTTTTTGTTAAGTGAAAAGTTGTCTTTGGCAAAGTGGGTGCTTTACTTAATTTCACTCATGAGATCCGAAGCGCAATTTATCTCATAAATATCTGGAGTCATCCCAATGTACACCTAATGAAAAGGTCCTTCCCCAGAGTGTTTCGCTAAGTGATGATTCTTTTGAGTATTTTGTGATTCAAATGTAAGCCAAAGGGAGATTCAATTTCGCGGAAAATTACCCCGTTGCTCGCGGAGGGTGTGCAAAAATTGCGCACGAGTTTTAATCCCAGTTTTATAGCACACGGTAATTTATTTTATCCTGTTAGGTAAGTGAAGCGAGACTTGTAGAAAATTGAATTACAATATTTATCTCAATTGCTTCCATACAAGAGACTCAATCATTCCCCAACATGGAAGTGTGCAGCTATAAATTCTACGTTCCGTACCATTCTTCTCTAGGCATCCTTTCAATCTATCACAAAGAGAGAGCATTCGCATTGAGGACTCGTTTCATTTCATATGAAAATCCAATTTCTGAAATTATAAAAATTTATTGCCTCTCTCAACGGAGCAGGGAGAGAGAGAGACAGGAATGTGTTTTTCTTTCTCCACCCTTTTTGTCCAGAGCTTTAAGCCATTTTCCTATTTGTACCGCTTCACAGTGAGATTTTCCTCTTTTGCTCACATTCACTTCACATTTTTCTCCCCCATCCCCCACCCCATTCAGCTCAACATCGTATTCTGTGGGAAATTGGAATTTAAACTACTTTATTATGTGAAAGTTTTTAAGGGGTGTATTTTTTCTCCTGTGAAATCTTAAGTGCGTCTGTTGTTTTCGCTATCGGAGCTCTTTATGTAAATTCACAAGGAGAAACTCAGGGAGAAGAAATATTTATGTTTTAGCAAAGTGCAGTCGGAGAACAATGTTAGATTCACAGGGGATTAAAAAGAATGTCCAGATGCTGCTTGGCTGTATTATTAATTTGCTAAAAGTTTTGCACAGAAGAAAGCTCTTACACTATAATTTATTCAAAGACAAATGCCATTGAAAGCACTTTGCTTGTTCGAGAATATTCAAAAAGTGCATCTATAGTTAATAATTATAACTGAATTTTCTCAACTGAATACCTTGAAGATGTGTTAGAAAAAACTTTCTACCCCTAAATATGAGAGTCAAGAGTGAACGTTTATCTTTTGTGGAAAATTTCAAAGTCAACACGGTTAGCACGCAAGAATATTCATTCAATGTTGAAAATGTTTCAGCCGAAAGTGAAATTATAAGAAAAAAAAATCCGCACATATGAAGTAATACTTTGTGACTTGTAATTTGATGTTTTTTTTACCATTCTTTTGCTGTTGTTTTCAAATGCTCTGGTTGAAATTCAGAAAGTTCAACAAATAAAAGTCAAAAATAAATCTCAAACAAGTCACTTAAACACAACAAAAAAGCTCCCGTGACTCACACAACGGGGAAAAAAACTTTGCAGTGAGTGAGAGAAACAGAAGGAAAATTTAAATAAGCTCTCAACGCTAATTTGCTATGCGAACCAGAGAAATTCAGGGTGAAATCGAATTGATTTGTGTGTATTTTTCAAACCGAAGACCTCGTGAGGGTGATTGGCAATCAAACGAGCCAGGTAAATAAGGTGAAGTTGAAATAGAGTGGAAGAGAGCTAAGAATAAATTTTGCGAAAAATCCTGCCACCAGACTTGAAATGCTTACATAAATCATTGAGAATTGTATGAGCATTTCCTATAATGATTACAAAACACTCTACGGCCTCTCGAAGCCCTCTGGGTTGGGCGATTTATTGACACAATCTATTTCGCAGCACCTTCTTTTTATGGTAACGGCAGGAAAATGTGCACAATGTGTTCGACACAGATGGCTAACGGCGAGAATTTAAATTCAATAAATCAATGGAGAAAAGTGGAATGCAAAGCAGAATTAATACTCAGTTTACGATTATGAGTTCAGCACTGTTTGCCATTAAGGCGTCTCGTGTTGCCGAGCAGAAGGTTGCTGTGGAAGGAATTGAGTGGGCGCACTAACCTTCTTGTTCAGCTTCAGGTCCGTGAAGATGGAGTGAACGCGCCATGTCTTGGAGAACATGGCGCCGAAGGCTAGGCTGAAGCCGGCCATGAGCAGCCAGGCGCGCGCCGTGCAGATGTAGGGGAAGGCCGCTATGCTGCTGAGGCCGCTGTCGAGGCCGAGGAAGATCACACTGAGGTACGTGAGCATGCAGCCGATGATGATGAGGTTGTTGAGGTGAGGACTGGACATTTTGATGTAGCGCTGATTGCGGTACTTGATGTTCACCACGAGGAAGCTCACGGCCATGAAGATGCCAACCACGGAGCAGCTGGCCAGCACCACGTAGATGGTAATGTTGACTTGACTGTGCTCAATGAGGAGGAATGTGCGGTCCTTGGGCGGCGACCGGCCCACCCAGCGCATCGGATCGCCCAGCGACATGTCCAGGTGGCCGTGCATGGAGTTGTACTCGCCGATCTTCACCTCTGCGCCGGCCTGGAACTGCTTCAGCAGGATCGACGCCTTGCGCTCGTTGTTGTAGAAGCGCACCGGACCCGTGACACCCTCGAAGCTGGTGTTCTTCAGCGCCTCGATGAAGATATTCTCCCACTCCTTCATGCGGTACTGGAACTTGTTGATCAACTGATCCTTGCGCTGCGACACGTACTGGATGGCCAAAGCCACTGCCCAGATCCCGTCATACGTGTACCCGTGAAAGCGCGAGTACTCTCCGCCCCGGCGCTTGTCATACTCCGTGAGATACTCGTCGGATGTCTGTGATGGGATTGCGGGTCGCATGACGGGAGGAAATATGATGTTATTATAGAAAGTGTTATGCAAAATCCCCAGAATGACATATTCCAGCTTTTCCATGTCGCACTCGTGGCCCTTGTCATTGTTTAATACGCCTCAAATACCATTATCCCGGATAGGAAATAAAATACATATTGAATTGCATTAACCACCAACAGAACATCATGAACGACAGAGTGTGAGGAATTAGTTAATAATGATTTTCTCGCCTTTCCCCCTTTTGTTTAAATTTATACTGTTCCATAAAGTTTTGGGCTTCAGTGCACTTTAATTTTCTCGGACAGTTGCAAAAAGAAGTATAATAATAGAATACATATGATAAGCAAAAGCAATTTGCAAGTGGCGCAATAAAAACATGAAGTATTGCAGTAGTTCAGCGCAATGGCCAAAATTACTGCTGATGTGATGATTTGAATAAATATTTTGTAGAGAAGAATATAGTGCAGCTTTTGCTACAAATTTGGGTCTCGACTTTGCCAATGGCAGAAAAATTGCTTCACTTGAAGCGTCAATAAATTATTATGTAAAAATATGCCGTCACATCAGAACCACTCTGAACCCGCCAAATATCAAAAATAAAAGGTTCCAAAGTCTTATTAAAATTAACTTTGAAATTCCCAACATTCCTACTATGTATGTATATAATCTCTTTAGACAAATAACCTCTTCTAAAGAGTGACCGAAATTGCAGATAGATTATTCAATTACATTGTGAAGAAGCCTTTGTGGGTGAATTCGATTTACCATCAAAGGAGGAAAGAGAAAGAGAGGAAAACAAAGTCAAATGGAAAATCCCTCAAGTTCCGGAAATTATCAGAAAGTTTCTCGAAGGCTTCCACCCACTGAAATGATTCCGTCTAGAAAAGTCCGCATAACATTTTTCCCACTCACTTTCATGCAATCTTCCGCGCAGAGAAACTTTAGCTCAAGGGTGGCACGGAAATTGACATTGGATTGAATGAAATACATTTTAATGCAAATGTAATTGGAAAAATTGAAAGTGGGCACTGTGGGTGCGCATTTGTGGCGGCGAAAGACATTGGACACAGCGCTGAATTGGCGGCAAGATGACTAGAAGCAGTGGAGGAAATGTTTCCGTGGAAAATTGACATGCGCCTCTTAAAAATTTTAATGTGTTTCCGGTGAAATGGGGAAAGAAGAGGCGCACGGGTGGGAGGTCTGCTGGGAAAATAAAAGGACTTCTCAAGTGTGGGTGGGCGCATAAAAAGTTGATACTCGATGGAAATTGTGACAAGCAGAAAAGACATCGTGAGCCAATAAAAAAACACACCCCCTCACGATTGCCAAGAGAAAGGGTGGGTATTTCCTCGACAGTGATGTACACATGGGTGAAATGTTTCCAAATGATTTGAGAAGTCAATCATCTGTTTGACGTTTTAAGGAATCCCAAATAAAAATGTTTTCGAACTGAGTGAAGTCGTAGGGAAACATTTTCTCTGTGAATGAAATGAATTTTTTAGCACCTCCGAGGAGGAAATAAAATCAACGATATTTCCCTAGAATTGCCATGACAGATGATAAAATTCATTCAATTTTAAGTGATCTAATATCTTCATACCGAGTCTCGAATACATTTCTCCTCCTCGGTGTACATCTGAGGCTCACACAGGCGTTCCCTTGTGCTTAAATTTCTCTTCGACATGGAAAGACTTTGGGGCATGTCTGTGCTGGAGAATGTGTGGCGTTGTACTTACAATTCCTGATATCGTGATGTCCCCGGACGTGGAGAGAGGTAGCAGATCAGTCATGATGGTGGATTCGAGGGCGGTTTGGAGATCTTCCTGGTTGCAGTCCGCGGAGGAGTTCCACCACTCCGTGGTGTAGGTGCCCATGATGAGCCACTGGTAGGCGCGGCCAAACATCTCGAGTCGGTGCGCCTCGCAGAACACGCGTCGCGCCCACGTCTCATTGAAGTTGCCCAGGATGATGCGTACGTCCTTCTCCTTCAGCTTCCGCAGTGACTCGCTCACGTCCTGCACGAAGCTCTGTGTCTCCACCACCTCCATTCCCATGTCGTCCAAGTCCGCCACCATGTGGTTGTGCGGCAGCGAGTAGCGCGGCTCGTTCTGGTAAATGGTGCCCACGCGGGTCCAGTTGAAGCGCCTCAGCAGCGCCAGCCGGGGCGCATTGAAGGCATTCTCCGAGGGCACCACGCGGAAGAAGTTGGGGAAGGCGTCCTTCGTGAACATGGGGTGCGTGTCGGCGTAAGACAGCTGCGTCAGGTGCCAGTGCTTGCTGGCCTTGGCAATTGGGTCGGTCACGTGTGTGCAGGCGGCACCGAAGAGCATCAGCTTGTTAGGGCCCGAGTGCATCATGTCGAAGAAGGACTTCACCCCCACCGCCGCATTGCACTGCATGAGAGGAAGCACACATGAGTTTATTTGCATTGAATGTAGCTTCAATTTAATCCACCCTCCAATCTGGCTGCAGAAGAAGCGGATGAGAAGAAATCAATAGGGATAATTCGGGAAACACAGGAATTAGAAGCACAAAAACTTGTAGTATTCTAGAATAGAATAGCACTGTGGATATGGCTTTTGGGATCCCACTATTGATTACACGTCCCTCCAGTTAATTACTGCATTATAAATCAGTCTATTTTCTGCATTATTCATTATTTAAATGCCAAGAGAGGAGCAACTATTTATCATGCATTTCAACGTCACCGAAGAATATATTTGGCTGGATTTCGCCACAGAGAGAATTCTGCAACTACTAAATTGCCCTCTCGGTTGGAAAATGACGCGCTAAGCATCCAGGATGAATCTTCCACTTACGTTAACTGGAATGGAACTACAGCACCACTGCTTAATGCTCTTTCTAGCGTATGCACAATTTTTCTAGAGTTGCATATGTGGGTAGATTTCGCGTCGCAAATTTAATAATATTTCTCTCTTCACTCACGACGACTTCGTATTTTATTGATTAATTTATACCGAGTTGCAAAGAGCTTATCTTGTTATGCGAGACTGAAACTTTTGCAAAGTTATGCCAATACCCTATATCCTGGCAAAAGTCATGGTATTGACCGGAAATACTTGAACAGAATCATGTAAACACAACTTTGCAGAGTTGCAAAACTATTTTTAACGTGAACAGAACACACATATCCAACACATCGCATTGCCCATGAATCAGAAAATGGTAAACGTGACTTTTTTGGGCGTTTATGTCTGATAGATGGCATTTGATATTGAAGCTTTTGAAATTTGATTTGATTTCAACAGAGTGTCTTTATCAACTTTAGTCTGGTAAATGATAAATTGTGCTGTAGAAATTGATAATTTCCCAAAATTACGTTCACTCGCCATTGGCTCTGTTGTCGGATATGAAGCATAATGCCTATTATGCATTGAATTGAGAAATTTAGCTGTGATTGATCTCATTGAGGGTGTTTGGAAGCATATATTGTATGTATATGCAAATGCACAAACACTAGAGGAACACAGATTCCAAATTGAATTTTCGACAATGCGATCCTCAATAGCTCACCTCGGAAGTTTTTAATAACATTTCTGAAGCAGTGTTCCTGAGCTTTGCAATTTGGAAAATGTTTAATAACGGTCAACTCAACTTTTGATTGGTTTCTAAGACTTTCGACAAATAATGCCAGATGGAAGCTTAAATTGTGCAAACTTTTGTCTTAAAGCAGAGCCGCCGAAGAAGGTTTCCGATTGAAAAGAAAGGGACAATCTCCATTAATCTCTTATCGGAAGCAACGCCAATATCGCCTATGGGCGCGTGTGATGCCAATTGTGAGGCAAACGACTAAAGCTCTATATATGGCGTCACCCATTGAAAGTTGTAACGAGCTTTCTGACATCCGCCAGCCTTAATACCCCAAACCACTGCCACGTCTGTTTTGGTGACCTCCGGCAGAAACTAACACGGAATCACACTCTGAATGGAATCGCTGAATTGTCAAAGGTTACGGGCCGTGAGATGTGGCGATACATTGAATTCGAGCGACCACACTGAACGAAAAGCACACCAAATCCCAATTCACATATGTTCATTATGCAGGAATCCTTTTCAAGAGCGCGCACCACCTCGAATGCTGCATCAATTCAGCTTCCACAAACTTGCAACTAAATCTCCTGGCTGAGGATCGGTGACGTTGGAAAGTTATGCAAAAATTCCTTTCGTGTTTTATGTGATTTCCTCCCGAAAATTGCTCACTCCGCAATCCATCCAGCGAAAGCTCTGCACTTCCAATTGAATACGTCACGAGTGGCAAACACTCGTGCAGCATATTTTCACACAGACAGAATTTACATAATCATCTTTGCCTTTTGGCCTTTTCAAGTGCAATATTCAAAGGAAAATTTCCACGAGAGAAATACTGGAGGGAAATTTTGTGAAATAGTAATACGGCTCAGAGCGCATTATTGCGTCAGCAGAGCCATTGTGAATACTATCAACCACTTCCTCAAATTGTGCAAGCAGACATTGAACTTTTCACATGCAATTTTCCCAACTTTTATGACTCGTAATGATAGTTTAGAGGTGATATTCGAACAAATATCCTTGCTCTCTCCGTGAAAATTGAGAGACCATAAAATTGTAAAACAAGTCGTTAAGAGAAAGCTCTACTCTGTTGCATTTCTCGATTAGGTTCCTCTCGTTACAGCTCGAACAGACGTTCTATAATAATAATACAAGTAAATACGATTGAAATGTTCCAGTTTTGAATGAAACTTTGTCTCAAATTTTAAGCAAACAGTTGAGAAAAAGCTCTCTATATGAGTGGATATTGGCGCTATTCAATAAAGTCAATTGGCTATGAAGACTCAAAGGAAAAGTCGCCCCTATAAAATCATACAAATTTGTCATAGAATGGACAGATCAATATCCAGTATATATTAATCGCCTTGAAATTAGTAAATTTGTGCTTTATGAAAAGCAATAAAAGATGAAGCTTTCTACGCCCCGATACGCAGTGGGTAACTCTCGGGTTTTACGAGTTAGTAGGAATTTCCCACACGACCCATAAAATTTTAATAGAAAACACAAAAGATCAAGATGTAAATGAAATTTCCCCAACCACAGGGAGAACCTTTAAAATCTTGAGTGTTGACACGCTTTAAGCTCATGGCATCAGAGCTCTGGCCTGACCGCATGGATTCTTTAGGGATATTGCGGATGGGTGGTTCCAAAAGGGCGGGAAATTGATTTGGGCTCGCCACTCACCTCAGTATCGTTCCACCACATGTGGAGCCGGTAGTTCCGGAGGATGGTGGAGTGCTCGTTGACGTGGTCGAGGGCCAGCTTCACGCTCGGCATCACGCCGCGGCCCGTGTGGGCGTTCTCGACACCGTCGCCGTAGGGAAAGAAGCCAGCAATGTACACATCGAGGCGATGGCTGGAGCTGGGCCGCTGCTGTCCGCCGGCCACCGAGGCCACGGCCGCCGTTAGGAGAACCACAAATCCCAGGCAGATGTGTACATTTTTCATTTTTGCACAAAACCTAAAATATAGCTGCGCCGCACGACGCCAAGAGACAGGATTAACATACACCACAAATAAAACATCAAGTGGTCCCTTGGGCGCAGGGGTGCGGAGAGGGCGCTAAGAGGCCAAGAGTATATACGCCCGGCGATGCTGGCAGAAGGGTTCTACCCGATATAAGCCAATGTGAGCGGATTTTTCTCCGCTCCGCTTCTCGCTACTTCCGGCCTGGAACGAGCAATAAAGTCATTCCGCCGAGAGCTCGAAATGGTGTGCCGAGAGATCTATTTGGGGCCCAGAGAGGGTGAGAGCGGAAAAGGAACTTCTTGTGCCGAAAGAACTTCGAAGGGTTCACTAATGCAACACTTGAGTGACATCTGAAAATCCCTTTATACTCTTTGCTCACGTCGCCCACCCTCTGCAATTTTTCAATTTGGAATCCTCTCCGAAAGATAATTTCCAAATTCCACGCCACTCTTGTGTTCTCAGGCATTTTTCACACCATCAACGAGTATCTTCGTGACTGCGGATTATGAGAACATTGTCTGATTCAGAAGATGCGAGGAGCGGTGTTGACGGAAGAATTTTTGAATTGAATTTTTCTCATAGCACGTAATTTTGTTTCGCTTCTTCTAAGCAAGTTTTTGCGTTATATGTCTTTAGCTCTTTAAAAAATTGAAAAAATCCTGTCAACGAAAAAGACTAAAGTGCATTATTTGTGTTCAGAATTCAGTGAAACTATAGAAGAAATCGTGTCCATCAGGAAGCAAAGGGGTCATTTAGGGTTAATGGCCGAGTATTTGTCAATGTAAACAACATCGTAAAGCTTAGAAAGTTTGTAGACAATTGACTCATCTCTGCAGCTTCACAAGAGAATAATTTACTCTCTCCCAACATTGCAGATGGAGAAACTTTTCACTGAGAGACAAAACACCTCAATGGTTTCAATAAATGGGATGTTTTCCATTTCGCTTCACCCTCAAATTGCCGTATGGTTTCTTCTGGTGTGCAGATGAAATCAACTTTCCACTCTCGCATCGCGAGATTCAAAATGATTCTTGACTTTGTATCACTTTTGCTCGAGATGAGCTCATCTCCTCGCAAATTGCACCTTCTGCACAGACTTTTTTGCACGACTTTAGTGAAAAAGCGGCACAAAATATACAAGACGGAAAATGTTTGAGAAAAGTTTTCGCAGTCATCATCTTCTCCCCTTTTGGACTTGGAGAAAAAGTTTTTTTACGAGATGAAATGATTTTCAGTGAGAGTTTTCAATCAAATGCCAAGATATTCCGCGCACAGTGGGAGAAAATTCAATTGAGGCACAATATTTTGAGCATAAACTGTACAGGAGTACTGGGAGTGTGACAACTTAGTTCATTTTTAACTAAATCCAGTAATTGCGGAAAATTAAATTACATTTTCTGAGCTGTAAAATATTATGACAGTTGTCAATGCTCACATTTGCAATGTGTCAGTAATTCTCACATGATAAAACTACAGCCAATGAATATTTATAAGATCCATTAGTATTTTAATATTTATTTCCAATTTAATCAGACAATATGTCGGCAGTTTATGCAAATATTCTGCAATTTAAATATCGAAAACCATATTTACAAATTCAACTGAAAATAATTCGCGTGTGTTCATGAACACATGTTCATGTTAAATATTAATTTATTTGTTCTATGAAATTCTGAGTAAGGTATCTTCAAATATATTCAGTTTATTTATTGAATATCTAATTCATACATTTGACAAAGATAAATTGATGTTAGTGGAGCATTAATTACTTCATTTCTCTTGATCTTAAATGAGTGGTGATTTTATTTGCATTCTACCTATTCCACAACTTGTCTTGTAATGATATATGAAATGCTAATGCCCCACTTTGCGATTGAATAAGCTTTCACATTCAAATTAGAGATGATTTTTCATTAGTGGAAAAACTCCATGTAATTACTTCTCATACTTTCTGCAAACCAGCTTGGCCGAAGTTCTCTTTAAGCTAGTGTATACATATTTCACCCCAAAAATTTCGCCAACATGTTCCCAGTTCGTATAATCAGAATCACTGAAATGTTTGACTATTAAATGTAATTACCGAGTTCCATTTTCAGTTTGTCATTGAGAACGTAACATGGGGGCAAATTGTCAAGAATACAAATACAAGAGTATCGAGGCTCTTCTCTGCGGGTCGGCCCGACTCCCTCGCAGCCCTGAAGAGGAAGCCTTGCGCCCCGAGAATAAATATCCATGGCACGTAGTATTGAGAATCGAAGAACGCACATTAATAAATTGCCACGCTCTCTCACAAGCGACTCTCTATGGTGGGCGGAGCTGTGATGGGGTTGTTTTATGGAAAATTGCACCTTGAATAAATTGTGCTCAAGTGGCTTTTTGTTTTCCAGTCTCAATTGCAACCTTCAGACTCGCCACTCGTGGTATTGTTGGCCGTGTGAGTGGGTGAGGAGAGACACTTTTGTATTGATTTCACACAAATATTCCCGAGTAATTGATAATAAATTGGATATTTTTAGCTCAACCGCAACCGCCGTGGCACTTTTCACTGCCGTTTCCCCAATACTTCACACCCAAGGTGAGCCCCAAAGCCGCCCCACAAGAATGTCGATGGTGAAAGAAATGGCGTGGATAAAGATACAGAATTTCACATATTATCCCCTAACTGTGCGACGATACGTACATATTTTAGGGGTTTTGTGTGTGAGACCAACCCAAAGAAAATGTCCTATATTAAAAATTCATTTCCCACAGCCTTTTCACATAAATAAAAATCCATGAAATGTGACGTAAAACGCTTTCAGCCCCCAAAGAGAGCGTCCATCTCACCGTTTCCTCATTCGTCGACACGGAAAACCCCACTTATCTTCTTACCTCACTCGAAACGTCCGCCAAATTGTGTCAATTTGTTCTCACATGCATCCCTCATGAAAATAGCTCTGTCACATTATTAGATGGGGTGAAAGTTGCGCAAATACATTCCTCAAATCCATTTGTCTGTCCACAAAATGTCGAAATACATAGCCTTCTATACATAGGAATACTCCTCTTTATTTATAATTCAGTACTTTTATCTATTGACGTAGAATTCCTATTCATTGAAGGGAATCGCAATACATTCATTCACTGCTGAGTGATTTTCTAGGGTATCGCGGAGTTCTAACTAATGGTTTTTTCACGAGGATTGTCACACTTGAAAAAAAGTCAGCATGGGTTGTTTTTATTAAAAGTTTTCATAAAAATGTTGTGACAAATAATTGAAAACACAGATTCAAACCTAAGCTCACTTTTGAATAAATTTGCAACATTCAAATCTCTATTCCATGGACAAACTTTGAGACAATTTAACCGAAAACTTTATCTCTTCCTTCAGCCAGAGAACTCCACAGGATCAGGTTTTCCATGAAACATTTGTGGGTTTGTATGTTTTGTTTATAAATAAATTAGCATTCTAATTTGCCTGAGTCTTCCCTTGGGAGAAATTTCATAATTTTATGCAAGAACTTAGCAATGACTGATATATCGAATTAGACTTCCACACTGAGATATGCAATTTCACCACTCGTGATTCCCTGCAATTCATGTTCACATGGAAAATACCCCGGGAGGAATTTGTGGAATGTGTGCAAGTAAGGGTACATTTTCTTTCCAACATCCAGCAGGAATGTCTAATTGATTCTGCAAGAGAGACTTTGCCGCCTGTTCTAAGGTACATCACATATTTCTCAGACTCCTTTTGCTACCTCACGGAATAACAACAATCCATCTATTACTTTCCCTTGCAGAAATTTCATCCACCCGGATATTTATTACATGTTATTTCGTGTGAAATTTTTCACATATTTTTCATTTGGGTATCATTTTTCACGTTGGAGCACCGGAATTGACTTTCCTTGTCGTGTTCATCCCGGCGAGAAAGACATCCAAGTTTATTTGCGTGAATAATATTTCCCAGGCGAGTTTGGTGAGTGTTATAAGAAAAAAATAATGTTTGACATGGAAATTTTGCATGTTTGGCGAATACTTTCCGGGGAAACACGTCGAAAATAGAAGGAGGAAAATTCACTTTCATTCAATATCCCTTTTCTCACCCCCTCAAAACACAGGGTGAGAGAAGACACGAAGGTCAGGGGAATTTCACCCTCTTCCCAAGGCAAGTAAACAGAGAAATTGATGTATGAGGCACCACATTATTACCTACAATTTTAGTCCATCCACCAAAAATTTGCATCTCATCCTTTAATTTGAGAAGTAATATTTACTGAAGGAGAAAACTGTGGGGCGGAAGAGCAAACTTTATTGGAGTTCCTCGTGTAATTTTGTGTTTACCAATAGTTGTGTTGCTTCCCAGTCAGATATTTTCACCAACAACGAGATAAATGGTGCACAGAGAAAATTCCTTATCGCCTCAGTGTCGTCGAAAAGTTTTACTCCTCTGGCTGGATAATCAGGAAAAACTATCAGAATTCTGTGAAAATTTGTTATGTCGCTGTAAGACATTTCTAAGAGACTTGACTAATTGCAAGAAAAGCGAAATTTCCTGTCTTCTCCAGTAATAACAAAGATGAGATTGTGTTCAGGAAGAAAACATTCTCCTGGGGACTTCGCAATTTACTTCTCATATTGAAAATACCTCATAATACGTTATGATCTGCTATAATATTTCAGTAAATTGCTGAATTGCTTTTGGTTCTGGTTCTTCTGTTCATTTGTCACAATTTATTACTTCCAAGTAAGGAAGGTATCTGTGAAATACTGCATTCTATATGGACAAAAATACACAGTAATGCTTACGTCGAAGTTCTGCAGTTTCGTAGCAGAAAAAGTTCTCTGCAATTTTGATGCAATTAGGTATTTAGTGTGCTATACTGCAATGTTGCATTGCACTACACATGCCTCGTAAACAGCGTATGAAAGATTTTAAGGTCGCCAGAGGCAACACTTGTTGCAATACATGAAAGTCTCTCGCATACCTATATACCGCGCTGTATATAGAGTATGGAGTG